TATGTAACTGTCTGCAGCTCAAGTCTGTATGAACAATGTTAAATGTGACCCTGGCTTGGCACAAAGACAGGAGACAGGAGAACAACCAGTCTGGCTCTGACCAAAAGTAACAAATACACTCACCAACATCAAACTGAAGTGTCAAAAACTCAGATAATAATAAATAATAATAAAGACATAACATGCTAATAACATGCTACTCATGTTAACTGTGAGCCTGTGCTGGACAAAGCCAGACTACCTGCCTTTCAGAGTCAGTGTCAGTGTGTAGCTTCGTACCCTTCACCGTTGCCTATGCCATAACCTGATGTGCACCTCCCCAGAAATGTAACTACACATTGTGGCAACACAGACCAACAACTGCTGCATCACAGTGGCCAGACATGTCAAAGGCTGGTAGTAACATCCTATCAGAATAGTTATCCTCTTGTAAAATGTGCAGTGCTGCTCTAAGCAGCTTTGTGATGATGTACTACTCCCACAGGAAGTGGTACTCCTTGTCTTTGAAGCACCTAACTCTCAGTTTGATGCATGAGCGCTTCAGCTGCATGGGAATTTTGGTGACTCCAAAGTGCCTCATAAAAACATTGCACTCACTGGACGAGGGCACCAGTAGCTTTCTGCGGCTGACATCTCCCACATCTTCTGATGCATCTGTAGATAGGCTTGTCTTGGTCCAAACAGCTGTGCATTTTGCAGTATTACTTCTATATACAGTCTTGATGTCTACACTGGACATTAAGTGTTTCTTGACATCAGCAGCAAAATTAGATTAGTTTTATGTGATACACAACTGTAATGTGATGGAAATGGGTAAGCTGTCCATTAGTTTCAGTGGAGAGGGTTTCTGTAGGATCTGTATAAGTGACATCTTCATCACTGTCTTCATCCAGTTCAAAATAAAACTCTGAATTCAGCCTGGCACATTTTAAATCCCTTGGAAAAATTGAAGCATTGTCTGTCACAGTGTCACCTTGTCAAACAGTCCATAAGATAAGTGAATCTGTACTATTTGTGCACCAGTAACATCATACTGTATGTGTGCCTGTCTCTGGTTCTTCCATGTGCTATGGCAGCCTTGTTGTGTTCCAAAGTGCGGACATTAAAAATAGTAATAGAATTGACGAGTTTAAACATAAATATAAAGGTATGTGTCAATCAAGATATATGCAAGAACAGGCTTAATGATTAATTAAATGGAACATTGTGGGTGTGGGGTAAGAATGTTAATACTTTGTAATAATTCTTTAATATATTACTTGTGTGGTGTAGAAGTGAATCATTTACTGCTTGCAAACCAATGATGGTAAGATGATGTCATGGGGTAGGACTGGATAAGTCTGACTTCTTCCTACTCCATTCAAGCATGTACTAAGTATAAGCAAATTGATATTGGATTAGCATTTGTTGGATATGTGTACAATCATGTGTGTTGTCATATCAACTGTCTTTACATGCTTGAAAGAATAAATCAAATCAAATCAAATCAAAGTGCAGCTGCTGATCCAGTGATCGGCTACACCCAGAAGGCTTTTTGTTGAAATGTCATCATATTAGATTATTTTACTGTTTGTAGATTCTAAAGGGTTGTGCATTACACTAGAAAATGGAATTACAGAAAAAACTTTTCTCAAATAAATGCGAGGTTGAGACTCAAACATACTTGTGCCTATTCAGTTGACAGAGACTCTCACCAGTAATTCTACAGTGCAATAATCTGTGTGAAAATGTGTGACTGCTTATAGTTGAATTATAAGACATGATGCTGACAAGATGGCTATAATATGCTCTGTTAATGCTGTTTTTTTCTTTCTTTTGATATTGTATATACTACTATGTATCTACTATTTTAGACATATTGTTCAGCATTCATTGTGGACAGCAAAGTAAGAATTTCATTGTGCAGGGAAATGTGTTTCCTTACTGTACATATGACAACAAACGCTTTGAATCTTGATTCTAATGCATACATCAAAAACTCAGATGCATATATCTAGCTATTTCTTCGTGTGTGGTGTGTATCAAACTAAAGGACACTACTCATGTAATCTGACACTGCTCACTGCTGCCATCCTTCCTTCACTGCCCCTTAATCACTTCTTCTTTTCTTTTCTTCCGCCATCCCTCTCTATTCCACATGCTTTTCACTGGCTAAATGGTGATCGCTGTAAACCGACCACTCTTTCTTCTACCCCCACATCATTCTGTCATTCTGTAGGAAAGACAGATCTCTGATGGAGTAGAAGAGCAAAAGATAACATCAGTTAATAGCTTTTTAAAAAGTCCTGTCTTTCATGCTTATTCACTCTGAAGCTGTAAGAGGTTTAGATAGTAGATTGAATGACAATGCATTTGTTTTTAAGGAGTGTTTTACTGTTTTATTTGAATATTGATTAAGACTGAAATTCTCAGTCCCAGCTGGTTGAATTGTTAATCATAAATTTGCTATTTGTTGTCATTTTTACTTTCTTAGAAGGATTTCTTGTGTTCAGATAAATGTTTCTTGTTCCCTCTCTGACTCTTTCAATATTCCACAAATTAGTGTACTATATTACATGCAAATATTGGATACTAAACCCTTTTGACATTACTAACCACTTTATAGACAGTATAGCCTACTGTGGGAGCTTGGATAATAATAATACTACATGAGGTTTTTTACAAAAACAAAGTGAACTGCATACAGGTTACAGAGCCTGTAACTGTTAATAATAAATCAATACCCTAATAATGAATCCTAAAAAAGGTGTGGCTGTGTTCACCTCAGAAAACTAAAATGTTGAATGATGAAAAATGGGCAACTTATGTGTGAGTGTATAATTGGATAGATAGATAGATTGATTGATTGATTGATTTTTGTCAGTAGTAAAGAAAATGGTTAAAATTGCTTTATTCCAGTGTTGTAACCTAATCCAACAACATGCTAACATTTTGCATGTTACCATGCTAATTAACATTAACAACAAATTAAGGATAGGATAAGAATAATCACCTTTATTGGCCAAGTATGTTACACACAAGGAATTTGTTTCCGGTACAGAACCGATGATGTACATTTGATGAAGTACTGTAAATTTGTTTAAATGAATAAATTACTGGCTAAAGCAAACATTAACAAGGATTTGTTAGCCCCTTAGCAAGAATTTAACAGTAACTGTTAGCCTAGCTAACATTAATGTATATCATTATCTAAATAAAGTGCACACAGATAGGCGGCTTTTTATCGAACACTTATTAATGGCAGTTTTGTTTGGGTCCTAGCTAGTATTGATGAGCGGGTAAGAGTTGCTGTAAACACATTTTTTGGCTTAGTTTTCATCATTATTGTAAATATTTGTTTGACTCTAACAATAGAGGCTGTGTGTTAGCTTAACTAGAGCAATTTTTTCATGCCACAAACAGGTCAAACACATTCCCGACTGTTTGTCACAGCATGTTGGTGAAGAGGGAAAAGTATGAGATACAGATGTTATTTTTCCATCAAGGTTTTAGTCAAACATGAAAACTCATTCTGTAAACTCATGTAAATTGGTCATGTTTTGGGGGATTATTTACATTTCCTCTGCAATCTAAGCCCTAAACTCTGATAGGGACCACCTGAACACGCCATTGGTTTTAAGCTCAGCCAGGACATCTCCTTTGCAGAGGAGGATTAAAAACGGTTTCATTTAAAATTGCATTTTGGTTTATTTGAATATGTCATTTTAATATGTCTTTGATGATAGGGGTTGAGTTTATTTGACAGAAAATGTTGCCACAACACATTCTGAAGATGAAATAACAAAGAGACAGTGTGAATATATGCAGTTAATAGATATAGTTGTATACCTCTTAATAGATATACAATTGGAAAGCACAAACCTCCTTACTTTCTGTATTGACAGTGTTAATATAGCATATTTTTAATTAGACACTTCAGTATCTGGTAATGTGGTAGTAAAAAATAGATACGACCATTAGGATCTTATATCTCCCACCCAGTTGTGGTCAGTAAGCCTATTACTTTAAAAACCAACTGTAAAACAATGGCAGCATCAGGTGAGATGGCTACATAACATTTAACATATTTATATTGAGTTGCTGAGCTCCCTAGATACTCCGACTGCAAATCAGGTCGCAGTGCAGACTAATAACCTAGTCTTTCAGGCAGCTGATGTCCAGACAATCAGGGGAAGAAAGGATGTATTCACGAAGGAACTGCTCTTTTCTAAGCCATTAATTATTGATGTTTACTCCCACAAAGAATGACTTCAGTGAGCGCATTAAAAAAATGGTTAATAAGAATATATGTATTACAACCTATTAGCAAATGCAAACAAGTGTTTGCATAAATGACACACTGAATAATAAGAGCACTGAATAGACACGCCCTGAAATGAGTATCAGACACTGTAATGCCTCTGGATTCTGACAACTGTTTTTTTCTGACAGGCCAATACCATACAGTCTTTGTGTTTCTTGAGTTTGCCCTGGTGCCTATTGCAGCGGGCTGTGTACTGTCTGTATACATCAGATTTTGCTGAAAATCTGTCAAAGCCTGTAACATTCTGAAATCTGTTCTGCTTCACCATTTTGAAATGGGCAAGGATCTTAGTTGTTTGAAAATGGGGAATCTGAAACTTGCACTGTTTTTAGAGATCCGGTTTTAGAGTGGCTTTCAGGCTGGCTTCGCTGTGATGACTATGTAATGTTTTTATGTTTTTATCACACTATGACTTCACTTTCCAAACATGGTTGTTTCAAATCGGAATCTTATATCACCAAACATTAAAATAAGTGTTGACAGAAAAAGTAGGCTTATGCTATGCCATTTTTGCCAGACAAATCCAGCAAGTCTGTGGGTTTGTGTGTAAGGGAATATTGTGTGAGAGAGTGTGGGGAGTTTTGTGTGTGAGACAGAGAGAGATAGAAAGAGAAAGAGAGGGAGGGAGGGAGTTTTGTACATGAAGGTTGGGGGTTGGTTAGTGATTGTCAGTAATAGGAAATGAGATATAAAGTTGTTGGATGCAGCACACTAAGGTCAGATACAGTTAAATTCTGGTTAACAAGAACGCTGTCAGCATATTGCTCACTTGCTGTAAGCATAGTCTCTCTCTCTTTCTCTATGTCTGCCAGCTCTTCGTGAGTATGAAGTAACAGAAGCTCCTGGTATCTGCCTCACAGGTGTGTGAAACTTTCTTTACCATATCAGGAACACGGAACTTGCGCACCTGGGAGTTGACGTCACACGCTGACAGTACCTGTAGCAACTCGTCCAGCTAAACTCACTCAGTTACTGAAACTACCTCCAGGAGAGGAGACAAAGGAGCTAGTACGACAGTTCGTAAAGGAATATATTTCTAATCAATTTCACCATTTTCTGTGTTTCATTACGAAGAACATTACAACAGCACCTGCATCCAGATGGGGACCGCTCGCTTTGCGGTTTGGGGATTTTTAATCGCCATTTTTCAGGTGAGATTTCCTGTTGTTCTTGGAAGTTTATGTGCGGTGTCCACCCGTTTCCGTCGAGTGTGTAACTTTAACTTAAAAAATTAAACTTAACTAGTGTTATCGTTAATCTTGATAGAAGTCGAAAAGTATCGCACAGCTCTGTACTATATTTAACTGGACTAAGACTGTTGAGGCGGGTGTTAATGTCGAGGTAGGCTACCTGTTTTAACTAGTCCTGCTTCGTGCATGTAAGAAGGCTGACTTGAAGAGTGTCTCGATTGACGTGTAATTTCGATGTGAAAGTATTACTTAGCGACATATACGTGCCAAATACATAGCACACAAAGCAGCTTTAAAGCGGAGTTTTGACTAGTTTTAGTTGAAGTACCCCGTAGGGCCTGGGTTTGCTCGGGCCTCGCCCTTGTCCCTCGATGACGTCGGCGACAGGTTAAATTCCAAATCAACACGTTTCGGTTTCATCGGCTGTTCACACCGGTGCATTTCACTTTATGTTGAAATGGCTTGTAAGACACATTTGAGTTTTAGTTTTTAAAGAATCACAACATGTTTGAACGATATTACCTTTCATTCGGTGTTTAAAATAATTAATAGATTTGGAAGGAGTATCGATCCATTGTTAATCTAAATTAAGGAAAGTACTAAATATTCTAGTTCCAGGTTTTCAGATGTGAAATTTGCAGCCCTTTTTTGTTTGATCATTATGAAAAGACTATAATTATCACACATTTGGCCTGCTGTTGGGACAAAACAGAGGCAAGCTTGGGCTTTCAGAAATAGGCATTTTTCATATCATGAGCCAAGTTAGATTAATCAGAAAAATATTACATTTGTATTATTTCAGGCCTAGAACATGCTTTTTATTACTGCGCTACAGACATAGATCTGCCACACTACCAATTTTTATGCCTTACATCATAGAAAAGACAGAATAAAATAAAGCTATTTTATTTTATGCACTGTGGTTTGGAGAGAGACTATTTTTGATTCCTTTTGTCTAGTACACAAGGGCGTAGGTTTGACTTGGGAAGTGGTGGGAACATAAGTTTGGCAGAGAGTCTGGGGTCCTACTACCCCAGAATACAAATCAACATGAAAGTGCAATAGTTTTCATGACACACATAGCCTATATATGGCACATTATAAGCATGCTCTATAAACATTTGTGTATTATGAAATTGATTACATGAACCCACTATCATTTAGTGTTCCTATTAATAATATTTAATAAATATGTGAAGCCAGAATACACTCTTGGACAACACCAAAGCTCACAGTTGAAATGCTAACCTGGTCACCTAATGCTGCCTGGCCTGGGCTCTGTCACTTTCTGTTTGCCTTCTTTCTGATACCTGTATGGACAAACACTATGTAATGCACTCTGACAACCATATTTGACTAGTTTTGTTTTTGACATTAAAATAGTTTTACCAATTATATTTACGGGATGTGCACAAAGAGGTGACATTAAAGCACACAAGTTTGTCTCTGATATTTGTATTGACAACCGCTTGGCGATACACCTGTTCATGCAGTGGGAGAAACTGGTTTAAACAAAGCTCTAATCAGAAGGATGTGCTCTTTGAGGTAACAATCCAGCTAATGATCACTCCTCTCTTCTTTCCCTGCCTGTCTTGGGCCTTTCTCTGTATTTTACTTTCTATATTAACAGCAAAGCTAAATGAGAATGAATAGAACTCCTAATTTGCTATACAAGTTATGAAAATGAAGGAAGTTTTTGATTTGCAATACAGCACTAGATAAGTTAACCCACCAATCATATGTACTGATAGGTTACAGGTTATTTGTTGATCGATGTAACAAGTGAGCTAACTTGGTCTTTCCACATAGTATTTATTTTTTACCAAGAAATAAGACATTGTAACTTGTTTATTACTAGTTTCCATGATGCTAACCCAGACTGCTGAATTAAGAAGAGATATTGCAGAAGGTTCAACCAGTTATCAGAAAATAATTACTTGTAATGTGAACAACAGTAACTTCAGGCTGCAGCCACACAGAAACCAGAGAAGACAGAATAACAATCTACAATGCTAATGCTCCAATGCTGCTCTTGTTTGGCCAACAGGTATAATGCCATCACGAAAAGGACAAAATCAGTTAACAGAAAAAAGGCAAAAAACAAACAAACAACAGCCTTATGTGGCTGGTTTATTAGAGAAGTTAAAAAGGATATTTCGCAACCACAATATCCTAGTTAACTTTAAACCAGAGAACACCCTGCGGCAAAGACTGGTCCACCCGAAGGACAAAACACCCAGACATAAACAGAGTGATGTGGTGTATGCAATTAAGTGTAGTCAGGAATGTAACAACTTGTACAGTTGGCCATCAAAAGACTGAAACACCGCTAGAAATAGAACACCCCTCACTAAATAGGGGTGGTGGACTGAGACACAACTTGTCATCCATCTACAACTCTGTTTTGAGATCTCTGCCAAAACATGCCCACCAGGACAATAGGCGTCAGTCCACAGGTGAGGGTTCAAAGACGGGTAACGATGCTCACCGATAATGGGCTATAACGACTTAGTTGTTAGGGACCATTGTTGGCCATCAAAAGACTGAAACACCGCTAGTGGGGATAAATATCTCCGGCTCAACGCTAGTCGGGCAGGACTGATGAAGCCTCTTGGATGAGAGGTGAAACGTCTCTGGCCTGAAACCAAGTCCAGTTGATTTTATATTTTTTTCTTTTTCTCGACATTTTTTCAGCTTACTATGACCTGGATGACTGAGAATCTGTATGGACATGTTGCTACTCACTTTGGGAATCGGTTAACATTACCCAAGTCATAAGTAAGGCGTATAGCACAGAATCACTCTAAAGCACACCCTGTCACAACTTTTAGTTTGATAACTAGTTATCTGTTCATGTTGGCTACTGTAAGTATAGCAACTATAATGTTAATACCTAACGACATGTCCTTACTATAAATTGCCTTAATGTCAATGTCATAATTTATCAAATTGTTTTTTCTCTTCTAGGCTTCTACATTGAGCGCTGAGGAGCCAACATGCATACCTGGGTTCAAGTCGGATATATTAATTTTCAAAGTGACCAGGAAGCATCTGACCCAGGGCACCAGACTGGGTCAAGGTAAGAACAATCAGGAGGCTGTTCTCGCTCACTTGCCTATTACAGACAGACCTAAATGAAACTGTTGCTCATTTCCAACATCCAGTATCACATGGAGTACCTTTAGTTTGTGCAATATAGGGAGCACATTTTACAGATGCAACCATTTTAAATTTCTGGCTGGACCACGGTGGAACCATGCCTGATCTGTGACAGGTCTGTGCACGGGCCCTGATCTTACCGTGTATCCCCCGCGATGACACAGTGATGGTAACGCAGCCTTCTTAAGTCCTCTAAGTAATGTGTGTGCAAGTCGCCCACAGTGTTGCATGTATATATCCACCAGATGTAGCAGTGCTCATTGCAGAGGCCAACTGATAATTTGATTCTTCTGTTAATGTCCAGAACTGACTGTGGATGGAAACAGTAGGTCCGCTGGACCAAGCTGAGGCACTTTGTTGGTAGTGGCTGCCTACATATTAATCAGTACAAGTGTCTGTCACAGTAATAACTATTATTTTTGTTATGTTTTGTTTATACTTATTTTGCTTTGTTTGCACTGTTGTTGCTTGTTAATGCTGCTTATTTTGCTATATACACAGCCTTATGCTGGTTTACTTGCCCCTTGCATGGGGATATGTACATACACATTGAGAGCCGATGTACCAGAGTCAAATTCCCTGTGTGTCCAACACACCTGGCCAGAAAGCTGATTCTGATGCTTGCATGCTCGAACCCCATATACCTTTTGCGACCTCATGCCACTGGCAGTATTTGCATTGTCTGCATTTTTTTCCCATTAAGTCAAGGTTGTTAACTCTGTACTCATTTGTCCTTGCGTTTAGATGTCTTAAATCTTGGCACTTTATTTTGGTGGAAAACTTTTATTGGTAAAAGTGTTTTCTGGGAAAACGAATCAAACGTTTTTAACCCTCATGCAGTCTTAGGTGACTAGTGGTAACCTTTTCGTTTTATTTTGCAAGCCATGTTGGCTGTGTTAAATGAATGTAGCTAAAATTTGGCACAGGATATTTATTTTATAAAAACTTAAAAATTGTGGTGTAACTTCCTTAAATTTGCTTAAAATGGCTGAAAGAAAAAAAAATACTCACATGTACCTAGGGTACTGTTATGGACCATTGAAACCCATTAAAAATGCTTTTTTTGATGCCAAATACATCCTATCATGTCATATTTCAATGCCCTGAAGCAATACACCATTTTAAACTAGAGGGTCTCAAAATGCAATTTTAGTAGTTGACCAGCAGATGGTGACGCGAGAACATTTTGAAACCGTGCATGCAAATTCATCCAAATTTCACTATTTTTCCACTGATTTTGCAAGGGTGACTTGCAGAAAGACTGAAAATGATAAAGTGTGCATCACTATTGTGTGTTATCAATATGATTTGTGTGTGTGTGTGTCTGTTTGCCTTCACGTAACGGTGTTCGCGCGAACGTAGCTCTAGCTGCATAAAACAAACCATGTGGGTGTGTCTGTGTCTAACTTCATAGTTTTTTTTTTTTGTCTTAGAAAGCCATATTTGTGTTTTATAATTCAAGATCTGAAGCGAAACTAACCGCATTCATCATAGCTGACTCCGTTCGGCTCATGTCTCCTCTCGTCTTCTGCTCTGATTTGCTCATGCGCACTCCATGAGTTGTGTGTGCGTGTGTGTGTCTGTGTCTGTGTCCCTCCATGCCTGCATGCATGTTTGTGTCCGTGCATGCATGTGTGCATGTCCGATTTCATAAGGCCGCAATCTATTCAATTCAAGATGAGAAGCAAGAACCCAAACAGAATTGGACTTTGTTTGGGTTCTCATTCAGCTCCTGTGTGCAGGTGCACTGCAGCCAAAAGTATAAGCAGTAGTGTGGAATAGAATTAGAGGAGGATCTTCATCAGAGAGGTGGGAGAACAATTGGTGACGCCCCACATAAAGAGCGTCTTCCCCCGGGCATCATCAGCTGTAGAGCTAATTATGGAACTGCAGGATGATGGTGCTGCTGCAGGCCCCGCTCATAGGAGCAAACTCCAGGGCAGACAGAAGTGTTACATGTGCACAAGAAAGAGGGTTGCAAGCACCTGCTGTAAGTGCCAAAAGTTCATCTGCAAGGACCACTCACTTTCCATTTGCAGCCTCTGCTCTGCTTGAACTGGGCTGTAATACACAGAGTGATTCAAAGTTCATGTTTTTTAGTGTTCCTTGTTCATTTTTCTTGTAAATAAATGTTCTGGTTCAAACTAATCTTGTATTTTTAGAACACAGCAGGGTAATATGAGTTTGACATTTTTGTAAGTGGACACTTTTTGCCACTAGGCACTTAAAATCTGCCTCTGCCAAAAAAAAAATAATGCATCAAAATCAGTGTTGCTACCAATTATTGACCCATCCCAGGGCCTAATAATAAAAATAATCAAATCCCGGTTGAAATGTATTTTTTGGAAATTGTCATTTTTCATATTTTTCCCCACAAAAAAATATGGGGTTATGAAAACATACTGGCCTATGAAGGGTTAAAAGAAATATAATTCATATTTGATATGTATATTTCAGGAACAAGTAGTTTTAAAAGATTGGACAGTTTAAAGTGGGGAAAAAAATATGAATTTGACATTTTTTGAGCTGTTTTTATAAGGGGTTACCAATTTGCATTTAGGTACATATGTGTGGTAATTTTTAAAGGAACCCATGAGGGTTAACCAAAATATTAATCAACTAATCAGAAAATAACCTTTTATAAATTGTTAGTTGCTAATATGTTTTACCTCGCTAAGCCTTTTATGTCGGTACGACTTGCATAACTTAGAATAAGAGCAAACGCAGGCACTCAGACTTTGAAAAAGCATTTTTTGCTAATACCAGTTTTTCTGTGCAGGGCTGCATGCTTGGGGTAAGAGATTAGGGGGTGAGGGAATATGAGTGAACTTCACCTTTACACAGGGGCATTAACAGAGTCTGAAAGATATGTTAACATTTTGGACCCTGCTGACAAATACATTACATGAAATTGTATGGGACATCACTATCAGAACTATTGTGTTGTCTAGAGGGTTCTTGTCGGTTGTTTACTACTGTGTTAATGCTGTTTTACAGTCAGCAAAGGTTGTCTGTTTAGTGGCCGATATCTGCCTGGGCAGCAGGTGTTTTTCTTTGCAGGAGAAATACAGTATTAGACTAAGTTTTCTGGGAGAAGTGGTGCAGAGGTGCCTGTATTTTTGGCCATGACTGTACACTATCACTTTTATTTTTATTACTAAAATTGACTTACTTGGCTCCAAGCTCCCCTTCTTCTGTAATGTTAACTCCAATGTATCTTGTCTTTAGGTGCTATTGCATTAGCATCATGCTCCCTTGACAATGCAGATATGTTTTGCACATTTGGCAAAAAGTCTTCTTTCTGATTGTAAAACAAAGTGCTCCCAAACTTGAAACCTTTTCCCTGCTGTAACCATGCTCCCTAATATCCGCCGCTTCGGCCATATTTCAAACATTTTGCAATGCCTCACTGATCTACTGAACTAGTCTTCTTTTTCTTATTTTGATTGGCGGCTGACAAACCAACTTGCAGGTGGATTACAGCCACCTACCACCTACCAAACTAGAGTGTGGAGCAGTAGCACTCACCCAGTCTTTGATCTAGCCATGTCTGCTCTTGACTGTCTTAACACAGCTACCTGACTAGACTAATCAACAGTTGACAGATTCACTGACAACTCTTCTTATAATCAATTGGTTGTTGCAGCCCTAGTCATTAGTATGAAATGTTTGTCTGGAGCCACTGGCCACCTTCATGTGAGTTTTGTGCTGGATAAGTAGGCAAATGTCCATTGGCCAGCATGGTTCAGGTTCTTTAAAAAAAAATAATAATGGAGTGGTTAGTTGGGTCATTTTTATCTCAGTCTGAACTCTCTGGTCTTCACTTGGTCCTGTCCTGGCAGATTTGACTAGTTTATTACTTGATGCACTTTCAGTATGATTTCATCAACAGTGCTAAGTCAGAGATCGGTGAGTTATTGTGTATTTTCATGAAGGATTTCTAACTTGACCTGGAGTAGTCAGACCAGTTATTCTGGTTTGAAGTCAACAATCTGAGCTGAACACTAAACCCCATAATTGCGTTCAACCCTGATGGAGCCTGATGTATGTATTCTATTTGGATTTGAAATTGTTATAATGCATTATGTGGTAGCTTCCTGTGACCCAGCCTGAGTCTAACCTACAATTGTTGAATGAATGGATAGGGTGCTAAACACCAGAGTTATGCAGCAGGGTTGGAGTGCAGGTGGAATACTGATTATGTGAATACAATGATGGTGCTGTTGAAATGAAGTAGTACTGGGACAGCAGAATTTCCTCATTTTTATGGATTGGCTGTTTTGTTTGTTTTTAGACCCCATATGCCAAATTTCCACAGAAGGAGAGAAGCTGAATGTTAGATGTACAGTATATCACTGTCGTACCAAATACTCTTTCAGGGATTAAATGCTTTTGAACTAGATTTGTCATTTAACTTTATTCACAAAGTGCATTTCAGTTGTTTATATCATGACTGTCCTCGGGTGGCACATGTTGTGCACTACAATATTGCAGTAATAAGTGCCTCTGTGTGTTTTACATTTAAAATTTCAAAAGCAGTCCGAAGTGAAGTACATGATGGAACAGAGTTAGCTGCTAGTAATGTCTCGGTGTTGACAATCATTACTGGGCCCTTGGTTGAGAAGTGTTTAAATGGCGGTGACTGCAGTGAAATCAGGTTTGCAGTAGGTGTCATAACTATGCCCTTGCAGTTATGCTGCAGCCTTGCCAGCCCTAGTGTAAGCTGCACTGTACTTCTGGAAGTTTGAGGATCGAAAAGTGTTTTTTATTTATTTATTTATTTTTATTTTAGCTGCTCTTAATTTGTGAAACTATTGAAGCCAGTTCTAATTTGATAACTTTTAGTTTAAATGACTTGATTATTCAATTTTTAGTCTTATGTATAGCTTTAACAGTGAAATATTTAATGGTTAGCTCCTCTGCTCAAAATGTATTGATTTTAAAAAAAATTCAACTGGCAGAAAATGTGACTTTTAGTGCACTGTTTTAGGGGAGGGGATCTGGCAAGTTGATTATTTGATTCAGTCAATTAATTCAATGAAAACAACAAATGGCACCCTATTTTGCTTTCATTGAAATGAAACACAAACAATTAAGCTAACTGGTTCTGATGAGGGTCATAACACATGCAGATGTTTTTTAGTTTATGCAAGTTAAAAGCATAATTTGAAATAAAACATCCATTGTGTTTTTTGGGGGCGGGGGGCTTAGATTTAAAATTTAACTGTGTTGGTTGTGTACAATGTGCTTACTCACTGTGCATTTTAATCAGTCTTCCCACATGGCCAGAATCTGTGATGTCACTGCTTAAACTGTACATTCACTCAATCGGCCACGATGTAAGTAGGGATGCACCGAAAAGTTTCGGCCGAAAATGGCCCAAAAGTGCATTTTCGGTTTTCGGTCGAAATGCTTTTATCGCCGAAACGATACGGCCGAAACATTGTGATGACACAAACAAACCGCGACCTGCACGTGCTTGTCTGAAGCAACATGTCTGCGGTGTGGACGTATTTCAGTACATCTGAGAAAGACCGACGGACAGCGATTTGCAAAACATGTAATGGTGAAATTTCAAGAGGGAGTGAATCTGCAAAGACTTTCTCCACGTCAGGTTTAATTTATCACCTGAAATGCAAACATTCCGATCGCTACGCTGAATATGAGAGGAACGCGGCACAGAAAAGGAATACCACTCCGAGCACGCCCACTCCGTCTGTGGCGGACATTTTTGAAAAGGCAGGGAAGTTTCCCAGTGATGGTGTCAAGGCAAATGGCATTACACAAAAGATGGAGAAGGAATTCATTGCCTTAGATGATCAGCCATTCTCTGTCGTGCAGCAGCTCCTGTTCTCGATGAGAAGAGGAACAGACTTCACTGTGATAAAGCAGAGAAGTTACTCTTCATCAAGAAAAACCTGCCACTTTACCTCAAGAAGTAGAATGAGCTTATATTTATTATCCACTTTGCACATCTGCAATTCTTGGTGCATTTGTTGTTGTTAAAGTTCTACAGTTAACATGGGCTATGGCAGTCTTTGTTTTGATACACTATTATGTTGAAGGCCTAAAGAGAAAATATCGTATCTTTAAGCAGTTGCACTTGTTCTGAATGCACTTTCTTGTAGTAGCCCTACAGAGAAAATTTAAAATGCACTTGACCTAAATGCACTTTGTTTTTATGAGAGAACATTTAATTTTACAACCTTTCAGCAGGCCAGTAGGCCTGTACATTATTATTTAATGTACACGAGTGGGGTCAAGTTAAACATTTTAGTTTGAGTTTTATTTTATATTGTGCAATGTGCTAAATATTTGCATAATTTGTAATTGATTTATTCTTTGAACTTTAATATTAATTTATGCAATTGCAATGCCTTGATTTTAGTAAAGTTAGTACACAGTCATAGTCATAAATGCAATGGTGGTACTAATAATTGGCATAATTTCTTTCCGTGTTTTGGTTTTCGGCCTTGGTCTCCTCTTTTTCAGTTTCGCCAAGAATTTTCATTTCGGTGCATCCCTAGATGTAAGTGCTCATACTGCATATGGACAATAGGGACAGGTCCCCACCAATATTTGGGACAGAAATGTCCCTACCAGTATCTTTAGAGTGAAGTCATTTTAGATCATTCCGATGTGACCTCCCTGAGGTTACATCTACAAGACGATATGTTTGGCATTTGACTGACTGAAACCATTGGATGATGCAATGTACAAAAGTTATCCCTTCAGCGCACCAGCACCAACTGAGACAGAAGACTGGCGCTACACAATCCTGACAATAAGGTAGAAGTTTCCACTATGATTAGTCTTAATTCAATTCAAATTTAATGGTGCAATTTTTCAGTTTGTCTATTGGTGCCCTGGAGTTGCCTTCCATTTAATGGTTTTGTTAGCATATCTTCCATGTGTTCAATCATACTATTTTAAAAACACCAAAAATCTCCCAGACTGAATACCAAAATATTGGTAGGGACATGTAGGCTACAATAGGTTTTCAGTGAACTTGTTCTCAGTTGAATAATTATAAAAATGTATTCATTCTGCCCATGTACTTTGACAAAGAAGACTACATTTGGAAGTATTGTAGAACTTGAGTTTTTGGTTAAACTAAATAGCCCACCTATTTTTATTTTGTTTGTCTCCATTTATTGAAGCACCCAAGTTGAGGAAAGCTTTTAAGGGTTTTCCATTTTCTTATAGCTTTAGTGGACATTTTGAGGACTGGTCATGACAAAAGATGTTTTAGCCCTCAATTGTGAGTTTTTTTTCTCCCTCTATCAGATAGTTTTTTGTCTTTTTAAGGTGTAATACTGAAGTTAGAAATTCCAGTATCATGACAACACTAGCACCTAGATATAAAATTTGATTGTCACTTTCGGCTTTTCCCGTTTAGGGGTCGCCACAGCGAATCGTCACACTGACAACTCGCATGTTGACATTTGGCACATGTTTTACACTGGATGCCCTTCCTGACGCAACTCTGATTCGAATCCGGGGCGCAGCGACGAGAGCGCTACGCCTTAACCACTAGCCTACCAGGGACGGCACCTAGATATAAAATTTAAAATGATTGAACTTATTTAAAATAGTCACCAAATGCAACTAAATGGTCACAATCTGGAGCCCTGTATTAAAATGCATCCAGTGCTACTTGGATTGTGACTGTCACTCATTTTTTGCTGTGTACACACTCCTCTTGTCTCTGTGCTCCAGACCATCAGTCTCTCTCCCCTTTTAACCTGATGGTATCATGTGTCTGTCATCACACCTGACTGGTCAACACAGTATTCAGTCAGTGCATGGAGTGGAGTGGAGAGTGCTTAAAATAACTGACAACTTGTATTGGGTGTTTGTGATATGGCCTTTATTATATCCCAACTGGAACAAGCCACAATGCATTGAGTATATTTGACCTGTTCTCCTCCCTTAGTTTCAACATAGTTCATTTGTATATGATCATCTAGCAACCACTTCTCCCTTTCATGTAGGTGATGCGGGTTAAATCCGTCACTGTCTGAAAGAGGCTGTAATGACATACAAGGATGTTTCTATAATTCTCTGATTTTGCAAAAGGTGAACATTACTTTGTGCTGAAGACTTGACAATTACTTTTTTTTTTTTTTAAATGGATAACTGTTTTTGTGTCCAACCAGTGAGCTTCACTGACTGCACAGGCCGCACAAGATTCCCTTTTACCAGTGATGACAGCCGTTTCATGGTACAGACAGATGGCGTATTGATGGTGAGTAGTGTTCAATGGATTATAATGGTTTTTAATGCTCAGTTCAACCTTTATTTATATAGCACTTAAAAACAACCAAAGTGCTTTACATACACCTGGTAAACATATAAACATATGTCGACATTAAACATTGACAATCCAAAATCCTTACATTTTACACCAATGAGTTTAAATGATGGTCATTTTGACATCCTCCTCAACTCGGTTTTCCACCTCTGCTCATCCTGCTTTTCATACAGTCTTTCAATTTTTAGCTTTTTTTTTCTTTTTTTTTAAATCTTATAACCTGAGCTGACCTGAAATGTTGCACAGGTTTAGATGAACAGCCATAAGAGTAGTCTACCTCTATACATGTTGGCAAAGAGTATCCTCCCAACTGTCCTCAGGGTTCAGTTTGCCCAAGTTTTAATTTGTGCCATTTAGAGCTTTCCTAAATTGTTACATATTGGCCATCACTCTGTGTGTGGATTATTTTTTTTTTTTTTTTTCTCCCATCCAGGTAAACCGGCCGGTAGTTCTTCACGATGGACACCAGGACTTTGTCATCCACGCCTGGCCACAAGGTCACAAAATGACAGTTCCTGTCACAGTATTGCTTCGTGGGAGTCGCCACCAAAGTGATGAGCATCGCCGTGGACACCACAACTACCAGCACCACCTTACTGAATTGGACTTTGCTAATAACACAGGGGTAGGATTACAGAGACTGTTGGAGGACTGTCGGGGAGGGACAAAATACCTCAAAATAATTTTAAAGAAAATATTTTTTCAAGATCAGGCGTCAAATTGTTTCAAGTCCCTGGAATAATGACTGTTTTGGATGTAGTTTGACAGTGCAAGCACTTTCCCCCTCATAACAAACACTGCCCCCCTGATTGTGTGAATGGGCAAAACATACTGGTTCATTTGATAGGAAAATCTTTATTTGTGGATATGTTGTTTAGGCCTTATTAATGTGCATGCTTATTTAATTTTTTCTGCACACTATTACTTTAGTAATAGGCATCTTAATAGGAGTACTTATTGTAGTGTCTTTATGAAACTATTTAGCAGCTGAAGTAGAGTATATGAAAGCTATAGTTCATGAAGTGTTTGTCTGGTCCTTTAATACTGGTCATAATTAATATAATTGACTTAAAGTTTTTAAGTTCTTTGCATTTTGCTTATTTTTAGGAGTGTTATACTGTTGAACCCTTCCCTGACTAAATGTGTGCATGTTTTCCTAGAATGGAAATGATCCACATGTGCCTGTTCTGCATTTCCCCGTGTCTGCTGAAGGGCTGAGGAGGAGGAAGAGAGACTGGGTTATTCCTCCACTAAATGTTGCAGAGAATTCCAGAGGACCCTTTCCCGAATATGTATCTCATGTAAGAGGAACTAAAACCTTTTGTGACAATTTGATATTGAACTCCATTTGGAACATTTGAATATGCAAAGGCCGTCTGTGTTGGATGCCACTGTATTCATTGAGCTCAGATTTTTATTTAGGTTTTACTCATTTGATTTTATGTTTACATTATGATCAAGTATTGCTTTAAATTTACTTGTTTTTATTTGTCCCAGTGCTTACTAAACGTATTAGCTAAAATTTTTTGCATTTGGTTTTGTAACGGCTGATTACAGCTACAGCTGTAGTCCATGAGTGTTGTGACTCAGTTGTGTTGTGTTTTGTCTAGATCCGTTCAAATGAAGATAAAAACAAGAAGATTATTTACAGCATCACTGGTCCAGGAGCTGATCAGCCTCCTCTTGGTCTTTTCTTCATGAACAAAGATACTGGTCGTCTCTATGTCACACAACCACTGGACAGAGAGAAGCAGGCCGAGTACAGGGTAAGTACCCTCTAAGAGGTGGTGTTTTTTTTTTTTTTTTTTTTTTTGTTTTTTTTTTTTTGCTTCAGAAGTAATGTTTACCATGATTTTATGCAAATGTAATTGTATACAGATAAGTTTTACTTGCACCTGTGTGCTCTATAAGATCAGTAAGACAGGTCGGCAGTAAATTCAGCTTTTTGAATGGCTGGTTATAAAACAAACATTTGTACAGCTGTCACTGTGAGGACATTCATAATGCGTTCCCTAATCTTTGACCCTGTCCTTGACCATCATATCTAAAACATGGATGCATTATCAGAGCTGGATGCTACACTGCCCCACAGCTGTTGAGCCAGTTTTCCCCCTATGGCCCTAAAAAGTATTTTCTTTACAGGCCACAGTAATGAGAGGTGCCTGTAAAACTGTGGAACTGCAAATGCATCAATTTACCACTCTTTGTATTGTGAATTAAAAAGATTTTGTTTGTGACAGTACCCTAGAACCTAGAAAACAATTAACTATTTTGTGACGACATCCCAGTGTAAAATCTATGGACCGAGTGGGAGCGCACTGGTGAAGGAAGTGGGGGGAACACTATTACATGTGTGCAGTGGGCCGCATTATGCGGAAGCTAGAAAACATTTGGCTCGTGTGTCAGGTGAGAATTTTCATTCAAGTGACTGGGCGCCATCTTTGAGTGTGGGTGGGATTCAACAGCTTTTATTTATCTATACTGTATATCCTGAAGGTTTGGTGCTAGAGCCAGTCCCAACTGACACTGGGCAAGAAGCAGGGTCCACCCTGGACAAGTCGCCAGTCTATCACAGGGCTGACACTTGCAGACAACTACACACTCACTCCATACACCCACACACACACCTCACCGTCTGTCTGTCCACCAGTACAATGTCCAAGTGGTTGGCCATTACCAGTTTGTATCAGAAGAAGAGGGCTGTAGTGATAGATGTAGCAACATCAGAAAGAAGGAACACGAAAAGCTTGAGAAATACCAAGGGCTGAAAGAAGAGCTAGAAAAGATGTGGAAGGTGAAGGCACAAGTGGTCCCCGTGGTAATAGGAACATTGGGGGCTGTGACCCCCAGACTGGGAGAGTGGCTCCAACAGATCCCAGGAACAACATCTGAGATCTCTGTCCAGATGAGTGCAGTCCCAGGAACAGCTAAGATACTGCGCAGGACCCTCAAGCTCCCAGGTCTCTGGTAGAGGACCCGAGTTTGAAGGAATACAAGACCGCCCCAAAGTGGGGGGTGAGTGGGGAATTTTTATATGGCTTGGCGATATGAAGTGCTAACACACAAACTACAAATCCCATAATGCAGCGCAACAGCTGCCTTACCGAATGATGGGCTACCTGCAATCATTCCTGCGTCAATAACGTCAGATCAGTCAAGCGTCTGTTGATGTATACAACCCTAATTTCAAGTCAAAGCTAGCCCAATCAACCTAAGCTGCATGTCTTTGGACTGTGGGAGGAAGCTGGAGCACCCGGAGAGAACCCATACAGGCACAGGGAGAACATGCAAACTACATACAGAAAGGCACTAGATTGGTTGGGGCTCAAACCCAGAACCTTCTTGCTGTGAGGCAACAGTAATAACCACTGCTCCATCATGCTACCCTATTATAATATATCCATTATCTAAATGCCTAATACTAAACCATAAAACAAGTCTTTACCCTCAAACAGCCCTTTGAAGTTGTCAAAGTGAAAACTGGACAAAATGTCCTTGCTCTAAACTCAAACTGGTCATCCCAATGTTTAGTCATTCATGTACATTCACATAAATATAGTTTGTTTTTGCATGTATTATAATACAAATTTGTGTGTGCAGTTTCTAGCGCATGCTGTGGCAGAAGGCGTGGGAAATGCGGAGACACCTATGGAGATTGTAGTGAATGTAATTGATCAGAACGACAACAACCCTGTTTTCACTCAAGACATCTTCCTGGGAGTAGTTCCTGAGGCCTCACCAAAAGGTACTGTCAGTACTTTTTACCTAAGCCTGAAAAATCTCTTTTGGTGTTCAAAAGTAAGAGCAGCATAGAGCTGCTAATTTTTGTCTTAAACTTTTGATTTGGTTGAGTCCATGGGATCCTTCACAGTGGGGGAATACTACACAGTATGTGCACCTGTTCAGAATGGGACTGTTTATAGTGTAATACCAGAAGTGGTGTATTTAGCTAGTGATAGAAATATTAAAAGCAACTGTTAAGTAGAGGGGAAAAGTAGCATCTGAACAGCCCATTTTTATTTGCTAAATCACCAGATGAAGTGTTCTGAATATGTTAAGAACCTCTGAACTTAATTTCTATTTTCAAATTCCTTTTCTCCAGGTTTTGAGGTGATTACAGTTGTGGCCACAGATGAAGATGATCCAAGTACTAACAATGGAGTAATCCGTTACAGTATTCTGAGCCAGGACCCACCGTTTCCCAGTGACCCCCTTTTTGAAATCAACACAGTCACTGGGGTCATCAGAGTCAGTGGTCATGGGTTAGACAGAGAGGTAAGGTTTTAAAATACAGTTGTCGTTGATACCTAGAGTAGATTCAGGAAGTATTCAGACCCTTCCAAGTTTTTCACATTTTGTTACTCTTTTTAAATGGATTGAGTTCATTCAATATACACAATGCTTGTAATAGTCGGGTTCTTATACTCGAGCACAAGCCCTTGTTTGGGTCTACCTGCTATAATTCATGATTTAATGGCTTTGCAGGCTTCAGCATGATACTGAGCTACATAGTCATTCCAAACAGGCCTGATATTACATTTCTCATTTTTTATGCCTGTATGAGGGCAGTAAGCCCTAATAGAGATCACCCTTTATAAAATCATATATGGAACAAATATCACTAAAGCGCTTCGGAACCTTACAGTTGGCATCGTGCACATAATTGGGTCTCTAGGTAGTTGTACATTTCTCAGGGGTTTATCTGTCTAAAAATGTTTATTGCAAAAAATGTATCACAGTTTTCCAAAAGGTTAACAGCTACACGTCAGGCTTTATCCCCTACACTTTGGCCCAGCGACAGACCATGGCAGTTTATGACAAAACCCAAATAGCCATTCAGTGAGACTAGTGCATGCCCACAGCACTAGCAGGCCTGCTCATTCTCCCCACAGCAGAATCGGCATTTATTCCAATAACTTCAGTCCTGCATGGCTCATATCGCCAAGCAAATGTGCCTTCTGTCCAAAGCTCTTGATTGCTGCATGCAATGAAGTTGGTATAATGTACAGACACTTTTAAATGTGCTACATCTGTGTACAGTTTCAGACAGGTAATCTCTCGGCCAAGTTTTTCCTTAAGATGCACAACATAATGTTTCCACCTCTAGGTCTGGTGAAAACTTTGAAGCAAAACGCTCACCAGCTTGGTCTTGACTGTTAACAGAGTTCTCTGAATAAGGACATCAGCCTTTTCTCACAACTTGACTCCACTTTGGAGGGCCTGGCAAGGGTGACTGCCCTCTGGGACTGTCCATAGCCTTCTCCACATTTGGAGTGGAAGACTCCGCCACGGCAATCACGTCCAAGACTCCCACCTGTTTTGTTGCCAACACTGTGCTGTCTGAGCCAGTGGCTCCACTTGTTACTGCAGACGCATCCGGACCATTGTCCTGGATCAGAGCACACACCTGGTGATTAATCCCTACCATGATGGCAGATTTTCAGACATCAGCCTGTAGCTGCAGTTTGTGTTTTATGGCACAGACTTAAGCATGCGGCCTCTCCATTTTCCCCAGTAGACTCAAGACATCCATGTTGCAGGGGACAGTTTTTTTTTTTATTTTATTTTTTTTTGTTTTTTTTGTGGGTGTCTTTCTAAGGCCATTAGTGAGAACAGTTTTGCTGCATAGTAGGACAAAATGTTTGCCAGCAGGGCAATCTCATCCTGACTTATTGTCCTAATTTTTTATAGAGAGTAAATTGAGCAGCTCATCCTGTACAATAACTTGGCCGTCGGTCTGAGGTCCCTGGTTTTACCTGAGCCCAGCTGAAGTTGAGAGCGACAGAGCTCCACGGTGCATCATCCGCCATGACGGAGGATGATGGAAACACTCCAGAAGCCCATTTTCACTATCATTTTGGAGCACTGTGTGTAGATTGAGGGGAAAAAAAATTGAATCAATTTTGAGTATGAAACGTAAAATGTATAAAGCATGAAAGGGTCTGAATACTTTCTGAATCCACTGTAACTGCTGAAATGTGTTTTAAATGAACTTCTGATTTATCCTCTGATTTGACTGAGTTAGGCTGGACTAAATGCTTTTATGAAAGCAGACAGCCGCACCAATTATGTCATTTACTTTAGGCAGTACTCACTATGTTACCAGGTTGTACAGTGCCTGGGTCCTGTTACAAATGTATGTTCTGTTGGCACCACATCACTGACTTCTTTTCCATTATATACTAAATAAGTAGGCTATTTCTGCAAAATTGACATGACACCTCAAGCCTTTTGTGGTTAGTGACTGTTTCGTCATCATCTGCAGAAATGGACTCCACTGCTGCAGATGTGCCTTCCCCCTGCCAGATTCAATAGAACTTGTATTGAAAGTTTTGACATGACATGCTAAGTCTGACTTTAATAGGGTACTCACCAGATCATCTAGCCATAAAAGGATTTTTTTTTATTTTTGTTGTTTTGCTATTACTTTTTTTTTTTTTTTTTAAACCCTAACTCTTTTGGATAAGAACATTAAGACTCATGTGTCATATAAATGAGATTCTGCTTTGAAAAGTATTAGAGAGGCTCATTTAGACCAGTGTTCAAGCTGTTCATAAGGTCTAAGTTCAGGATGTTTTATGTTTGTACAAGTCAGATGTTGCAAGGCTGACATCTTTTAGACCAGTGCTAAAGTTAGTCAAATGGTCAAGGTGCACTTAAAAAGGGAAAAAAGGAACTGTGCCCCAAGGCTGTGGACTTCTGTACTGTGGTTTCAGGTTTGGCTTCAGAACTGTTGCACCCCTTACAGAATATGAAAGCTTTCCAGTTGCTGAGCTGGCATCATTGTGCGTCTCTCTTTCAACAGAAATACCCACAGTACACTCTGATGGTACAGGTTGCAGACATGGAGGGAAAAGGGTTGGCAGGTCAAGCCAAAGTAATCCTGACTGTAACGGATAGCAATGACAATGCTCCAGCCTTCACTCAACCCTTTGTAAGTACCATGTGCCGTTTCATAAACTCTTCCCCTAAAGAGCAATTGTCCAGTCATACTTTAGCAAATGTAACAGGGTACAGCAGATCTGTGAAGTTTCAAATTTCTTGCAGTGTGCAAGGGGTCATTGTAATGGCTAGTGACAAACTTTTTAATCAGTCGGTCTATTAATTGGACCAACATTTAGCATTTTTAGATAAATGGCATCAGCTGATGTATGTGCTCACAAGGCCAATTAACAAAAAATGTCTGCAGGTATTTCAACAATTTAGTTTTTCGATTACTTGTGGACTTCTGTAATTATGGGGCGCCTACACTTCAGTAACCCGAATTTTTTATTTTCAAATACTTGAAATAAAAATTCATAATTGATTAGTGTTAAATGTTGAGTTCAGCAGATTTCTCATTTGTTGTTGCAATTTGTCTGGTACAAAAAGGAAAGCGTATCTGCATTTTAGATACAGATATATATATAAAATAAATGAGAGAGAGAGAGAGAGACCAATTTTGGTCAACCGCTAATAAGAGCTGTGGTCAGTGTTTAAATAATTTGGAGTGTCCACGTCATAAGGCAACAACAGATTTCCTGGAGAACATAATTCAACAATCATTTCTGGTAGTTTAATAGGTTGTAAGCAATAATGTCTGATCCTTTTTCATTCTGTTCGGTGGTTTAAGCAGGACTGGAGCTCAGTTTTGATTGTGGAAGTTTGACATGATTAAAACTTTGCATCATTAAAAAGACATGTCACCTGTAGTGACTTTAATTTTTAAAGGCCTATTTGGTGTTAAATGGCACAATTTAAGTGCTTGAATTAAAGTGAGTAAATTATGTGATACTATTTTGTAGCTGTTCGCGTGTAATGAACTAAAGTGCAAAACATAGAGCATGAAATTAAGGCTAAGTAGAATTGTTTTGTTTAGTTGACCATCTTTGTGTTCTCATGTTGTTTTATCCTCACACTTGTAACATTTAACGCATCCCTTACATGTTCCCAGTATAATGCATCAGTACCAGAAAATAAAGTGGGTGCTCTGGTCGTTACAATGTCGGTAACGGATGCTGATGAGCCTCAGTCCCCAGCCTGGAATGCCAAGTTCAAAATTGTCCTTGGTGATCCTGGAGGACTTTTTGCTGTGACAACAGGAAGTAACAAACAAGATGGAATCATTACTACGGCCAAGGTAGGAAGTAAAAGCAGCCATTCTCAAGCAAGCAGCGTTAGACTAGAGATGTCCCGACCCAGTACTAAGTATCAGCATCAACACCAATCCAGGCACTTTTTTTTTACAGAATCGGCATTGAGCAGAAGAGAGCAGAGCCAATTCCAATCCATATGTAGAACTACAGTCCTCTGTTTGAGCAGACTTGGTCATGTTGTTGAGATGCACATGACAAATCCAATAAGCTGCTACATTACTCCAGCTGTCTACACTGCCAGTGTGTAGGCTGGCATATCGCTCCTGCTTTACAGCAGGCAGCCAGGACCTGAAGCCCATTTTTAACTTGGTCTGTTTTGTTAATGCAGCGATATCTAAATTAGAATAGTTAGACTAACTCTGTTCACATACGGAAATGTTGTAATAGTTAGTATCTGCCCTGTTAATGAATCTAAGTCTGAGTGTTGTCCAGCTCCCACTTATTCTTTTGGTTCATATCAATAATTTAGGCTAATAAACTTAATATTTGGGAAACAGGATCAAGAAGCTCCTGAAAAATACAGTGCAAGATTAATTTCAGTGTCATATTTAATGATCATTTACTGTGGGTAATTAAGTATCAGATTGGAATCAGTATTGGCAGATAATTGATATGAAAGGAATCAGAATCTGTATCTGTCAGAAAAACGGGGTTGGGACATCCCTAGTTAAAACAGCATTAAAGTTGCAAGAGATAAATAAAAAATTTTATTTTCACTTTGTTACATTCCAAGAAACTGCATAAAAACCTAGTTTAAGAAGAGTTTAAAATGAACTTTCCTGTTGGTTGTAAAGCAGCATTGGTTGTAAGACTGAAAAATTAACATGCTTTTCTTTCCATCCAACCAGCCCCTTGATTTTGAGAGGACCAGCAAACACACACTTCTTGTTGCAGTGGAGAATGATGTTCCTTTTGCTGTTCCGATGCCGACTTCTACCGCCACAGTGGTGGTGAATGTGATAGATGTCAATGAGGCACCCATCTTTGAACCATTAGAGAAGCAAGTGTCAAAACCAGAGGACCTTCCTGTCAACAGTGATGTGGCGTTGTACACTGCCTTTGACCCAGACACAGCACGCAAACAGAAAGTCATGTAAGATCAATCTCCATTGAATGGAATACCTTGTTACTTTGAAGATGTATTTGAATACAACATTATCACTGCTAGAGTAAAGTAGACTTGAAACAAGCTCTTGGATAACCTCTTCATTTTTCTAATCTCAGGAGTGCTCAGAGTACTTTTATCACTAAAACCTTTAGGCTTGCTTAAGCTTATTATTGGGGATCAAATGTAGAAACGATTTATGTAGAAGCTGCAAATCCTCCAACCCATTCCCAATTTAGCACATATTCTGTGTGAACACTTCAGCACTGCATGGCTCAGTGTTTCTTGTGGATCAAGAGATTTGGCGTGGCGGTAGTGTTACCTGCCGGGGGTTGAGGGGACAGAGCAGTCGTCAATCCTCAGCTCCTGATGAGCTCCTGATGAGCTGGGAGGACGGTGGGCGAACACCAGGGCGACGGACAACAGAAATGGGCTGAACTGCAATAGTTGCACGTGTCAGAGATGCAGTACATTTTATAGAATCAAGTTCCATTTGTTGCATGGAAAAAAACGCATCTAAAAATGCTCTACATCTGAATTGGCTTTAACTGCAGCAGTGAATGTGTTTATGGGCTTCCCAGCCAAGTCACTGAGGTGATACAAAGATTAATTTAATTTGTTGGGTTTTCCTTATGTAATAGTGATAATGGTAAGGTCTAGACCTTACTTTGTAAAGTGTCCTGAGATGACTTTTGTTGTGATTTGGCGCTATACAAATTTGATTTAATTTTTACTTTTGAGAAACAGATTAGGGCAGTGGTTGTCTTTTTCAGCTAAAACTCTTAACGGAGGTTAAACCTTTTTTGTCACATGGAGATCTGGAGAAGGCTATTCGCGTGTTTATTATGTCACAGTTAGATTATTGCAATGCCTTGGATGTAGGAGTACCCCAGACTTAGCTTCAGAAATTACAGTTGGTCCAAAATGCAGCAGCTCGGCTGCTATCCAATGCTCCCAGGTTTGCCCATATCTCCCCGATTCTTCGTGCTCTTCATTGGCTTAGAATTAAATTTAGGATCCTATTGTTTGTTTGTAAGGCTATTCATGGTCTCACCCCAGCCTACCTATCTGACCTGCTGTCAGTCTCTGTGCCGCGTAGAGCTCTTCGCTCCACTGATCATTTGTCGCTGGCGGTGCCGTGCTCCCGCTACAAAAAACGGGGCGACCGATCTTTTTCTATCTACGGCCCCAGACTCTGGAATGCTCTTCCGGTAGAATTGAGGGCGGAAAGTGAGCTAGTGGCCTTAAAAACTTACTTTTTTTTTAAGCAGGCTTTTGAGACCTACGGTAACCAGTTATACTGTTTAAATTTTAGTCATGGTTAGTATTTGTGTTTGCACCTACCTGTTTTTTGCTAGTGTTATTGTTTTGTGTGTTTTTACTGTTGTTCAGACCTTTCCAGTTGGTGTCTGTCTGATGTTCAGTACATCACATAGCTTTGAGATTTGACAAAAAGATCCACCTTTGGTGATGATACATGCTGTCTGTCAGTGATAATTGCAGCTGCCGTAATTCTTAAGTCTTCCTGTTTTTTAATTTCCCCCATGTCTTCCCAATATATAACAAATTGGCCAAAGTAAATGATAAATGGTCTTGTACTTAAAGTTTAAGTGTAGTACTTTTAGGTAGGTAGGTAGGTAGGTAGGTAGGTACTTTATTGATCTCTGTGGGGAAATTTCGGTGTTTCAGCAGCAATGGAGAACAAACAACATAACACCATGAGAAACAAACACCACACACATATCTTGATAAACAAATTTCAGTACCTCAAGCAGCAATAGAGAACAGACAGCATAACATGAGAACAAGCACTGCAAACACATCCTGATAAATTCCAAGTACTCAAAAATAGACTGAATCAAGTATTTGAATAATCAAGAACAGAATTTACATATGTGCATATTAACCATGCATTTTACCCCAGGATTTGAGTATTGCACCTCAGTTGACTATTACATAGTCCCTCATACTTTCACCTAGCTTATCCCTGCAGTGGTGTATTGTGCAGTCTGATTGCTGTGGGGAGGAACGACCTATGGTAACGCTCCTTCTTACACTGGGGATGTAACAGTCTTGCGCTAAAGGAACTGTTCAGAGCCTCTACTGTGTGGTGCAGGGGATGGGAGGGGTCGTGCATGATGGATGTTAGTTTTACCAGCATCCTTCTGTCCGCCACCTCCTTGATGGACTCCAGGGGGCAGCCCAGGACAGACCCAGCTCTATTGACCAGCTTGTTTATTCTCTTTCTGTCCCTGACCGTGCTACCTCCTGCCCAGCCCACAACAGCGTAAAGAACAGCAAATGCCACCACAGTATCATAAAACGTCCAAAGGAGTGCCCCCCGCACACCAAAGGACCTCAGTCTCCTCAGCAAGTGGAGGCAGCTCTGGCCCTTCTTGTACAGGGCGTTCAGTTTTTTCAGTCCAATCCATTTTGTTGTTGAGGTGGACACCCATGAGTGCTGGTGATTTCCGCCGGGGGTCAATCACCATCTCCTTTGTCTTGCTGGTGTTCAGGACCAGGTGATTTTTCTCACACCACTCGACAAGGTCAGAAACAACCCCCCTATATTCCCACTCATCCCCCCCAGATACACATCCAACATTGGCGGTGTCGTCCGAGAACTTTTGTAGATGACAGTGGTGGGAGTTGTACTTGAAGTCCGATGTGTAGAGGGTGAACAGAAAGGGGGAAGGCACCGTCCCCTGGGGTGCCCCCGTGCTGCAGATCACCACGTCCGACACAGTCATGCAGCCTGACAAACTGAGGTCTGTTTGTGAGGTAGTTAATGATCCATGCAGACAGGTGTTGGTCCACACCTGCCCCCTCAAACTTCCCCCTCAGCAGTGATGGCTGGATTGTGTTGAAAGCACTGGAGAAGTCAAAGAACATGACCCTCACCATGCTTCTGGGGGACTCCAGATGAGATGGGGCTCGATGCAGCATGTAGATAATGGTGTCATCAACCCTGATGCCAGGACAGTATGCAAACTGCAGTGGGTCGAGCGCCGAGCTCACCTGGGCACAGAGGTGGCTGAGGACAATTTTCTACACATTGATGCACACTCAAAGCACCGTTTCCCATTTGCGTGCACAAATGTTCACATTCACACATCAGTATCATCACTGGAGCAACTAGGGGTTCAGTTTCTTGCTCAAGGACTCTTCGACACATGGGCTGGAGAAGCCAGGGATTGAACCACCAGCCTTACGGTTAGGGAATGACCCACTCTACCTCCCGAGCCACAGCCATAAAGATGAAATACGAGTTATCTCCAGCTTCAGTTACCCCCATGTCCAAGCAAAACAACAAACACCTTCATTAGGGATTACATATTAATGGAATGTTGTTCAAATGATCTCTGAATGCCACATTGCGATGCTTGTTAGTTGCAACCAGCTTGTTTGCACAGCATTTTATTGTGCTTTTCTTGTCAATGTGCAGGTATAAAACACTTAGTGACCCTGCAGGCTGGCTCAATGTGAACAAAGACACGGGCGAGATAACAGTCAATCGCCTAATGGACAGAGAGTCCCACTTTGTCAAGGACAGCAAATACACAGCACTCATTGGTGCATATGACAATGGTAGGTGGAAGGCAAGACTTATCTTTGCACATCTGCTTAGTAGAAAATGAAACGCGTGCTGCTCTTTTAAGCACATTACAGTCCATCAGAAAAGATGCTATTTGTTTTAAGCCCACTTGAATGAATTTTTATGCAGAGTCAAGTATATCAGCATAGCATTGTTGGATTTGATAACTGCTTTAGGAGCCAAAAAGTCTAAGATGATGTAAAGTTCCCCAGAATTTTTTTTTGCTATATCCTGATAGGTGTGTGTGTGTGTGTGTGTGTGTGTGTGTCTGTCATCTCCTCAGATGAAATCCCAGCCACAGGAACTGGTACTCTGATCATTCAGCTTGAAGATGTCAATGACAACGCACCCACCATTGATCAGCGTGAAATCAAGGTGTGTCATCTTTCCCAACTGCTGAACAGTTGTCAAGTTTTGAACACTTCTAATACAGATGAAATGCAACACAGACAAGTTTTGGTGCAGAACGTATAATCTGTGCTGGGTGTTATTTTTATATTCTACTGATTAAAGAATGGCTAACTTCAGAGGTAAATGTAGCAAAAGCCCCTTGGTGTGCATCATCAGAATAAACAAAAGCTTGAATTTGACTTTATTTTTTCAGGTGTGTAACAAGAAACCAGGCCCTCAGTATCTGTCAGTAACAGATATAGATGGACCGTCCTTTGCTTCTCCATACAGCGTCTCCTTACAGGGCACGTCAAAGAACAACTGGACTGCTAGGATGAACGACACCCGTATGTAGTATTCACACACGACTAGAAATACAACCTATTCTGGTTCCTGGAGTAGTAGTTTCTCAAATAGCAAGTGCAAAAATGTTACCCGATCAAACGGCAAGTTCCAGGAGGAACTTGTCACTGAGAAGGAAAAAAACATCAAAGGGTTTTAAAAAGTTTGTAGGAAAAGCTCATATGATTTGAATTTTAAAAAAAAAAGAAGCTTTTTTTGCTGGTGGTCTTCTTCAGTTTGTCCATTGCCTGGGTTCTGATCAGAAAATCTAAAGCTCAATGTATCTTACATTTGAAAGCAAGGCAGCTTTACCACATTTTGTGCATGGAGGTAATTCAGACTGCTTTATGTAGGCAAAAAAAGACATTACAACCAATGAGCATTAAAAAAAATTCAGCTTAGACTTGAAGTTGGTGCACATTTAAGGTCCTCGGGAAGTTGGTTCCATCTGTATGCAGCTTCAGCCTGTTTGGCTCTGACCCGAGGTTCTACCAGCTAACTGCATTGTAAGGATCTGAGCCCTGATGGGTTTGGATTCTTCAAGACCAGAAATGTATTTTGGCCCCATACCAGTGAGTGATTTAGAAGCTCACGGTAGCACTTTGAGTTCTATTCTGTTGGTAACTGGTGGCCAGTGTAAAGATGAGAACCGGAGCGATGTGCTCAGTTCTGGTTTTTGTTCTTGAATTTAACATAAAAAGTAGAGTTTCTTCTGAGGAACACACAAGTAGGCTCCCAAAATGTAATATGTTAGATGCTTCAGTTAAGGTATAACATTTGAGATTTGAAGGACTGGATATCATTGTGGAGGCAATACACAGCATGGTACTGATGCCTGAGGAATAGACTTCAGTGGGAAATCCTCCATATTTACAAAGTAGTTTATGCCAAGATGTTTAAAGTGTTTGTAGAAAAGGGCATTAAATTTGTCTGCCACTGAAAATTTTCTATGAAAATAGTGCTGGAATTGGACAAACTCAAGCAGTGCAGGGGCTGTGAATTAATTTTCCTCTGTTTTCCTTGGTTGCAGAAACGGGCATTATCCTAACTCTAACCACTGAGCTGGCCAGTGGAGACTACACTGTGGTCATGAGGGTTGCTGACAAGGAGGGCCTGGAGCAGGATAACACTGTCAAGGCTGTAGTGTGTGACTGCACTGGGGAAGACGTGTCCTGTGGAGAACGTGTTGTCGGTGGCACCAATCTACCTGTTATCCTAGGAATACTGGGAGGCATCCTGCTGCTGCTCAGTGAGTCTGCTATTCAGTACGAGTTAAATATTGAAATATGCTTATCATAATTCCAAAGACTATAGATAGAAGTTATCTTATTAGGCAGAGATCATGAAGCTTTGCATTACAACTTTTGTTGGAAACCTGCAAGACATTTCACTTATCGTTCAGTGGAACCCAATGAAAAATATAACCTGCAACTGATAAGAGTGCCAACAACTTTGGTTTGCAGTAGGCTGCTGTGACCGGTTGTCACTGAGAGAAGCTCCGATTCCCTGATCTGACAACTGCAGCACAGTTTTGCCAAGAACCATGAGACATACATTACAGTATAGGAATTATGTAATGTTAGTTTGTTTTGGGTTTCATAGAACATTTTGATGCATTATGAAGCGACAAATAGAAACTTGACCACCTAGTGAAATGGCGCATTTGTTGGACTGTTTTCAGTGGAGCATAATCCCCATTTGATGCTTTATATTTGTGGCACCTGGGATTGAGTCAAAATAAATTGCACCATTTTATATTAATGAAGGAACATGTAACCCAGTGCAATAGTGAGCCACAGGCTTTGCTACACACAGAGTAGAGTAACCTCGGTTTTTGGTCTTTAACAGTAAGAAAAATAACGATCCAGCAGTGACAATGGTAAGTAGGACTTTATTGAGCCCACAATGGGGAAATTTGTGTTCCAGCAGCAGTATAGAGCAGCAACAAGACACCATAAGAACAGACACCACACACATATCTTGATAAATTCCAAAAGTACCTAAAAACAGACAGAATATACAGTGGTGTGAAAAAGTGTTTGCCCCCTTACTGATTTCTTATCTTTTTGCATGTTTGTCACACTGTAATGTTTCAGATCGTCAAACAAATTTATATATTAGTCAAAGATAACACAAGTAAACACATCATGCAGTTTTTAAATGAAGGTTTTTATTATTAAGGGAAAACAAAATCCAAAACTATAGAGCCCTGTGTGAACAAGTGTTTGCCCCCCTGTCAAAACACTGGTTTATCGCACCTGAGTTCAATTTCTCTTGCCACACCTGTTCGCAATCAAGAAATCACTTAAATAGGACCTGCCTGACAAAGTGAAGTAGACCAAAAGATCCTCAAAAGCTAGACATCATGCCGAGATCCAAAGAAATTCAAAAACAAATGAGAAAGAGAATAATGGAGCTCTATCAGTCCGGAAAAGGTTATAAAGCCATTTCTAAAGCTTGGGGACTGCAGCGAACCACAGTGAGAGCCATTATCCACAAATGGCGAAAACATGGAACAGTGGAGAACCTTCCCAGGAGTGGCCAGCCGACCAAAATTACCCCAAGAGCGCAGCGACAACTCATCCAAGAGGTCACAAAAGACCCCACAACAACATCCAAAGAACTGCAGGCCTCACTTGCCTCAGTTAAGGTGAGTGTTCATGACTCCACCATAAGAAAGAGACTGGGCAAAAATGGTTTGCATGGCAGAGTTCCAAGACGAAAACCACTGCTGAGCAAAAAGAACATAAAGGCTCGTCTCAGTTTTGCCAGAAAACATCTTGATGATCCCCAAGACTTTTGGGATAATACTCTGTGGACAGACGAGACAAAAGTTGAACTTTTTGGAAGGTGTGTGTCCCATTATGTGTGGCGTAAAAGTAACACCGCATTTCAGAAAAAGAACATCATACCAACAGTAAAATATGGTGGTGGTAGTGTGATGGTCTGGGGCTGTTTTGCTGCTTCAGGCCCTGGAAGACTTGCTGTGATAAGTGGAACCATGAATTCTGCTGTGTACGAAAATATCCTGAAGGAGAATGTCCGGCCATCTGTTTGTGGCCTCAAGCTGAAGCGAACTTGGGTTCTGCAGCAGGCCAATGATCCAAAGCACACCAGCAAGTCCACTTCTGAATGGCTGAAGAAAAACAAAATGAAGACTTTGGAGTGGCCTAGTCAAAGTCCTGACCTGAATCCAATTGAGATGCTGTGGCATGACCTTAAAAAGGCGGTTCATGCCCGAAAACCCTCCAATGTGGCTGACTTACAACCATTCTGCCAAGATGAGTGGGCCAAAATTCCTCCACAGCGCTGTGGAAGACTCATGGCAAGTTATCGAAAACGCTTGATTGCAGTTGTTGCTGCTAAGGGTGGCCCAACCAGTTATTAGGTTTAGGGGGCAAACACTTGTTCACACAGGGCTCTATAGTTTTGGATTTTGTTTTCCCTTAATAATAAAAACCTTCATTTAAAACCTGCATGATGTGTTTACTTGTGTTATCTTTGACTAATATATAAATTTGTTTGACGATCTGAAACATTACAGTGTGACAAACATGCAAAAAGATAAGAAATCAGTAAGGGGGCAAACACTTTTTCACACCACTGTAGTATTTGAGAGTCGATGGTAAACTCTTCTGCTACAGGCTCAGTAGAAAATGGCTCACCTGTGGTGACATAATTGTGTCGGTGTGTTGCTTAAGCTTTGTCCTCTGTAGGTGAATCCTAATTCCACTAACTGTATCCATGTTTCTCTCACTTGCATTTTTTCATTGCGTCTTAGTCATGTAAGACACAAGGAAAAGATGCAAGGGCCAACTGTGAAGAGAGGAATGAGGAAACGCATTTTAACTGAAGGCGTCCAATCACCGGCTGATTTCTGACAAAGGGTTGTGTCAGTCATAACCAACTTGCGCGAAGGATGTACTCGTGTACCCTTGGCTATAGCCTCCTCGGTCCTCAGAGCAGAAATAAGCTTTGAGATGTCCTTTGGCGGGGCAGACTGAGGAATGATCAAATAAGGGAATTGGGATTCACCTTGTGTGTTCAGTGCTGGTGCTTCTGCTGCTGCTATTTGCGAGACGGAGACGAGGAGAGAAGAAGGAGCCTCTACTGCCGGATGACGACATCAGAGACAATGTCTATTACTATGACGAAGAGGGAGGTGGAGAGGACGATCAGGTAAATGAAGGCATGGTTTAGGCTGATTTTATGACTGGACACACGTCATACAATTGTTTGCAATCAAAAAGTAAAGCTACATCTCCAGTCAGGTAGTCAGTGCAGTAGTGATCAAGGCTGGACAATAATGCAGCATTATCCCTTTTCTCATTAGTCACTGAACTCACTTTGCAACTATAATGTAAAGGGAACTGGCAACAGCATTTAGTTTGATAGACATATGTGGCTGAGTCTATACTCTTGTGTAGATGAACAATAAAAGAGAAATTGCATAAATTTAGAAATGCACAAACTGATTTTCTTGTTAAAAATGAAAGCTGCCTTATCTAATGTGTAACCCCTCCCTATGTTTGCCCCCCCCCCAGGACTATGATCTCAGTGTTCTTCATCGTGGTCTGGACAACCGGCCTGAGGTGTTCAGGAACGACGTAGTGCCAAACTTCATGCCGGCACCTCAGTACCGGCCTCGTCCTGCCAACCCAGAGGACATCGGCAACTTCATTGATGATGTGAGTCAAGAGCACATCAAATATCTTATGGTTAAAGTAGGTTGCTTTGATAAACTAGCTTGTTGCCATGTTCAATATTTCAATTTCTGCTCTAGAATATCTATAAAAAAAAAGTATTTTTATTTAAAGAGGCCATGGCACACTTTCCTTTTTCTGACAATGTTAAAATGGCAAATTATAATCTAAGACCTGACCTAAAGATAAAAAAAACGAGGTGAGCGTATGTTCTATTACTTCTATGCAGAAGCAACTCTGTTTATACACGTCTTGCAAACTCTCGCTCGTGACTTTTTTTTTTCCCCAAACAAAGCATTACGTGATAGTTGAAGGATTTCCTTGAATGGCCATAATCTCCAGGCCATTGCATGTTCATGTGAGCTTGCCTGACATCCACCTGTGCCATTGGAAAAAGTGGAATTTTTCGACTGCTCTTGGTTTTGTGGATATATTTTCCTTCCTGTTGATGCACTGTGACCAGAGGATGTGGAGAAAAATACAGGGCCTGAGGTTACTGCATGTCCAGGAATGTTCCTGTACAGGGACTCGCTCTTTTACCTGACCAGGTCTAACCTACAAGCAGCTGGCCAGTGAAACCCCCCACAGCGGTAAATGATCAGCTGATCAATGCTGGATTTCCCTTGAGTGCATTACCTGTGGTTTTTTTTTTTGACTGCTTGAGGCCAGTGTGTCTGCCGCATGTGATGTGTTGCTGGTTAACCAGTGGATTAACGACCCATGATGTTATTGTCAGTGCTACGCTACCTGTTGGAATTAATTTCACTACTTTGGGAGTGTATGTGGTCATGTCGGGGAAGATGCAGCGACCACCGGTTGGATTTACCAACCTTGGAGCAATTTGAAAGGGAGTGATGTTTGCACTACTCAGTGGGACTTAACAGTAAGTTTAACATTAGAATTGTTCTAAGGCCGGAGACGTTTCTATGTCTGCATTATGCCAGGTAAAATATGGGGTTTCTCAATTTGTTTAGTGTTGGACATCTCTCCATCAGTACATATACCGTTGTTTACCCATCTATGGAGGAGAAATTCCAATTAATATGGTCGCGGTTCGTTGTGCTATCCACTTGTGAAACAATGGCGGGAACAGTAGCTGTGCGTGTTCACGAACTATCCTCTTGGTTTTAGGAAGAGGCACTCTGGTTTTATTATTTTGAAAGAATTAGACCATTTGGAATTATGAGGGTTGCCAAGATTAAACATTAAATGGCTGGAAACAAGCATGCCATGGGGACTTTAACTAAAGCTTTCCATTTCTCTTATCTAAACACGTGCATATACATATACACATTCTTTACAGATTAATAGTCAGCGCAACATATAAAGTTATTGAAGTCACTCCATGAAGCTCATTTTGGTGTCCTTGTTTTTTGTTTTGTTTTTTTGGTTGTTTTGTGCTTTGATGATGGTTATCATCCTCTCATCTTCCCTGACATAATTTTGATACAAATATCAAACCACAAAGCAACAACCAAAAAAAAAAAATAAACAGGGACATGATTTTACAGTATAAAAAAATTAATTTTATAAAATGCAAACCTATATCCTCCACTTCTCACAGAACCTGAAGGCAGCTGACGGCGACCCGACAGCACCACCCTATGACTCCCTGCTGGTGTTTGACTATGAGGGAGGTGGCTCTGATGCAGGGAGCCTCTCCTCCCTGAACTCGTCAAGCAGTGGAGACCAGGACTACGATTGCCTCAGTGAATGGGGACCCCGCTTCAAGAAACTAGCTGACATGTATGGAGGAGGAGAAGATGACATGCTGTAAATGTACCAAAGAACAAACCATTTGAATAGGTGGATGCACATACAGCTGTGTGAACGTTAGATTGATGAAAGCATGAACTGATAAATGAATGCATTCCAGGAAGACAACAGATATTCATGCTGATGATATTTTTTTGGGATGGATTTGGATTTACTTTGTCAGGGTAGTGCTGTTGGCAGTTAACAGCTGCTGCTCAGAATCCAAATTATGAATTATTTTTAATATACAAGTGGTTCAGTTTGAATGGGGAAGCTCTGCCTGCATATCTTTCAAATTCCTGTTTGACTTCTAGGTTTAAAGATGACTTATTTTGTGCCCAGTGAGTTCTGGAGCCCATTCTTCAGTCTGATTTATGGATTTTGTCCACATATTTTAACCTGCCTTGTTGCTTACTGGGTAACACTGGAAATGCACACATGCTAGCAGTTGCATTGGTAATGATTGTAAAAGTTTGGCAATGTATGGTACTTTTTTTCTGTAGTTTGTACAATTGTAACAGTTTAATGCTTTTGTTTCACAAATGAAATTGCAGATGATTGAGGTGAAATTCTAGTAGTCGGCTAACACTACATCACCCTTTTTGTGTGGTCTCAGTTAAATGCTTTGTTCAACTGACCACTTTATTACACTGTAATGGCAACTGGTTTTGTAGTTACCTCTAACAGTACTTTATTTCAAATGCTTTAATTTTGAATTTTTTTTATAAAGTTCTTATACAATTTCTGGACTTGTCAGTGGTCTTATTGGAAGTCAAAGTACATTAGACATCAGAACTAATGATGCATTAGTGCAGGTTGTGTGGGGAGAGAAGTTTTTCCTCATGTGAAGTTACTATATTGTGTGTTTTGTTATTTTTTTGTACAGGCAATTGCAGAGAAAGCCGTTTAACCCACACAGGGATTATAGTTTGTTCTGGAGACTTGCACTCTACTTAAAATCTATGTACTTAAAGGTGCTCTAGTTCCTTTTCAGCCACTATAGTTTAGTGAGACTCACAGTGGCACCATAAACCATTCCTAACCACTCTGCCCCTCCTGTCATGTCCAGTTTCATAGCGATTATGCAAAGTGCAGATGCCTGGTTGTGACAAACCCTACACAATGCAGCCTTTAGTCCAAAGCTTGTGTTTGCTGACAGAGTAAATTTGCCAGCCCAGTAGAGCACTCTGTCACAAAAAGCTCTGAAGTTCAAATTACTCTGGAATTGAAATCACTTAAGTCAAAGGTGAAATCAGCAAACACTAGCTTTAGATGGCAAAACATCTGAATGGCAGACCAGACATCCTATAGGGAATATGGCTGAGCTCAAGCAGGTCTGTGAGGAAGAATGGTACAGCATTTTTGTAGGTCTACAGCTACAGAAATGTGTTTGAGGTTATTAAATCCAAGCGTTCACTCCTTCAACAGCACAACTGTAACAAGCTGGACTATGCAGTGTAATAGCACAGCTAGTCTCCACTTTGTGTTAAGGATGAAGCTGTACATTTTAATGACCAAGCTCAACTTCTGTTCTGATATATGGATACAAGTAAATAAAACACCAATAACACATTCTGACCAGTCACCATTATAACAGTAAGATGACCAGCTGATACATTAATATAGAAACAGCTGTATGTGGGTGATACAGTAGTCCTTTTAACACATAGTGTCTGAAGTGTAGAGGTTCAAAGGTAATTGGAGACTTGGCTTACAAACATATTGGTTCACACACAAACGAGCTGTGTCGTGGCTCAGAGTTGCCGTATAGATTGTAGTGAGGTGCCTGTCACTATGAGGAGTAAAGAGGTAACCATAAGTGAAGAAGATATTGGTGAGGCTCAAAAAAGCACAAGCCTATCAGGGATATCAAAGGTAGTTGGTTTGCTAAAATCAAAGCATGGTGAAGGAAAAGACAGATGCCACAGAGAAGAACACTCTCCAGGAATTAGGCAGACATGTTTTGTTGTCAACTATCAATATACATAAGGCCGAAGCAACTAAAGACTGGATGAGTCCACCGCCAGATCGTAGTCTAACTGAACTGCATTCTACTTGTGAAGACCAGACTGAAGGCAGAGAGCACACAAGTGCAAGTGTCTATGATTTCCGTGGGTGAAAGATTTCAGGCAGCCACTGACTGCAAAGGATTTTCCACAAAGTACTAAATATGTATGCTTTACTACACAGGAGTCTCATACTGACAGACACAAAACGTTTGTAGTCATTGTACATGCCCACAATACTTTATTTTGCTTTTAAAACACAAGCACACACACATTCCCCATTTTTATAGTGTATATGCTTTATGCTCAATCAAAGGAACAAACTAAAATACAACAGGCTGCACATTATTTGCATTTACTTGTATGTATTTTTTTACAGTTATAAATGAAAAAACATTTAAGTGACAGTTACTTAACCCTTTGTTTTAAATAACTACATTTTCAAGTGACTTGAATTTTTCATGCCATATTCAAATTAAGTCACAGAGAAAACAGGTTTGTTGTGGTTTAATGTTGTCCAGCAGGGGGCAGCATAGACTTGCTAAAACAAAATCAGTTCTTATGAGGAGGTGCAACAGAGAGGAAGAAGCATCATCGTGCCAAAAAGAAACACAATGAGGGGTAGGACCATGGGCTGTCTTTAACATTAAAACAAACTCCCCTAGGCTTCCTCACCACAGGGGCAATGCTATGGACTGTATGTTTAGTTACATTTATTACTGATTATCAGCAGCTTAAGGGATCAACTGTCCTGCAGGAGGCTGAGCAGACAATTAGACGTCTGACATTAGATTTTAATGTTGCATGGTAAATTTGCAATGTCACAATGACAATTCAAATATTAAAGACAAAGAATTAAAAGGTCCTTTTTGTGTCAGTAAATACATAAAAACGAAATACAACAAACTATTGTATTTTACTTTATTTCTTTGTTTGATGTGTTATTTAGGCATTTCTTCCACACTATGATGCGACGCTCATGCAACATTAACATTTCCCTAGGATCTGGCCAGGAAAATTCATCAAATCAGATTCTAAAGATGATGTATTTCGGGGCTGTTATCACTGCTGTTGAACTCATGAATAGGTCTTGTCTTTTCCTTAAGACAGTTGTAGAATTAACCACACCATAGTTGTCAGATACTGCAGGAAATAATTAATTTACAAAACATGTTGGCAGTAAAGAGTCAAAATGATCATTATTCATAATTCAGGGTTTTGCAGAATCATCCATCGTTGACGTCTTGCCTGGATGTAGGGTCGGATGCCCTTAAAATTCACTTTCAATTTCCCTTTATTTGTAACTCCACATGCAAAGAGCTACACACTCTCCAACATCCATCACTCTTTTCTTGGTCTTTTCAGCCACCCAAAGTTTACTTGTTTCTTCAGATCAAGCAGGAGACATTTTCAGTTACTGGTGTTTACTTTGTCATACTGTACCCCAGCTGGATTTTTAAAGCCGTCTGTTGTAAAGTTATTAGACAGCATCAGTCCACTAAACTGAACCCATTCTATACTTACTTTAAAATGTTTCTTATTACTTTTTCAAATGCTTGATTTTATGTACATCCAACACTCAGACCTACAGTAAGTCACATCTTAGTGATCTGATGCCCCAGGATGGAGGCGTCTCTCCATGTTGTTCACACTAGGTGTTAGCCTGAGCTCCTCTTTCAGATCGCAGCTACACAGCATCCACATGAAGCTTTGTCTGTACTGAAGGCTAGAGTGGACACGATAACTACAGGTCACTACAGGGAGACCTCAGGCAGCCCAGTACCTCCCCCAGAGAGAAGAGCTTCCTGGTCCCCGCTGCCAGGGACCTTCCTGACTCTTGGGACTGGCCTTCACCACCGTGACCAAGTCAGCTTTTCTGAAGGAAAAGACAAGACATTTGGTTATTAATATAAGGAATTCTGCCACAGGTGTTTTACTAAACTAAATGTTTTTCAGTGCTGCTTTGCTTCCATAATCTCCACCAAGGGCAGGAATTATGTTTGTCTGTGTGTGTGTTTGTTAACAGCATAACTTAAAAACTGATTTGGATGACATTTTTTGAAGGGGTAGGCGGTGGCTACCCAATTGATTAGATTTTGGTGCTGTTCTGTTTCATAATTTGGATACAGGAATCTTTAAAAATGATTCACCATTGTGAGTGCTGGAGAACCTGCTCAGTGTATCTGAGCCAATTTGCGGGCAAAGTGCACAGCTGCGTTACTGAGAACTCCACACACATATGGATTGAAATCCCTGGGTTACTGACTGTCCATTTACTCTCAGTAGAAACTGAGTGCGGTCACTCGGTCCACCCTGCAGTGTGAGACAGGGACTGAAGGAGCCCAGCGAGAGGACAGACCAGAGCTGGGGATAGATCTATGCAGGAACAGCAGAGATTTGGAGTCGGGTTCAAAGCTGTTATCGTTTTCATCTGTAGGACTGGTATTATGCCACTTGATTAAGTTTTGACATTTTTTCAGGTGACAAAGTAACCACTTAGACTGAGAATATGTGGTCAGTCTGTCCAGGTTATGCCAATGTGGAAATTTGTTCTGATGTTTTCAGAGATGTGAGTGCTCCTCATCTGACCACGCTAGCTCTATTAGCAGGCAGCTACATCTTGTTCAGAGCCCAGTAGTCTGTCGGCGAGGACGCCGGTGTTTCGGCTGCACATTACAGCTGTGTTTCCAGTATTTGAACCTAATGAGTGGTACACCCTCTGTCATCTGGTATACCCTTGTGGGCTGGCACGGACCGTCCTACTTTGCTTCACTATTTTTCTCTGTCAGTCTCTGTTTAAAGGAGAGAAGGGCTGCCCTCCTCAGTAACAGAGACTAAGAGCAGTTTATCAAACAGCTGTTGAACAAGCAGAATACAACCTTGCAGAAATGTGACATCTTCAGTGGGGGACAGCCCATCTGGAGCACTGGATCATTTCACAGTGGCCTAAGGCTCATTTGGCCTGTTGTGAACAGTCAACTTCACCAGTCATAATAGAGCAAGCATTAGTAGAAGGAACCTCTCAGCATGTGCATGATGGTGCTACTTTTAGTCTCACCACAGTGACAAAGACGACACCATTGTGTCTCCTGACAAGGCACATACTGTAGCAACTGTCTACCTGCTTTTCCACTGGTAACATTAGAGAAGTTGCCTGGTGAAATGGATCATGTTCAGCAGAAAAGGAAAGCTGGAGCAGAGGAAAAGAGAAGAGCCCTTGCCATGGACACAGCTAAATGCTGCAAATAAGCAATGTTTGCCAGTAAGGGACCACGTCGTTCAATAACACTAGTTAAAACATACACATGACAATCATAATATCCTCTATAGAACATACAATCTTTGCTGACATTATCTTTGTATAATTGATCTGCATGTTTGTATCTTGTACACAGTAATGTGATAAACATGATAAATAGGCCACTGGCTAACTGGCAAACGTATAGCAATGCTCACTAATACTCACTGTCTCTGTTAACAAATCCAATAAATGAATGGGTGAAATCGGCACTTAAAGCCCAGGTAAAGCAAAATCAATGATTTGTTTCTAAACACATTATACATGTTAGAAAACAGTCACTGAAAACTTGTTAAAAGACATGGCTCGATGATGCACTGGATCCATCCCCCAATCCTAGAGCACACAGAGCTCTATGTCTGCATTTGTTTTTATGGGCACTCATGAGACTGAAAATTTATGGCCACAGTTGAGTTTTCTTAAGAGAAATAATGTTAATGCTGCTGCCTCAGTATTAAACAATGACAAAAGTAGGAACACGTGAATGGTGAATGTGTTGGAGCGGGTCTGAACCGACCACAGGTGGAAGGAGAGAGATAATGGCCAACACAGTTAGTTGTTAGCAGTTAGCCTAACAAGCTAACTTTGAACTGACTGTGAACAAATCTTAAATTTTCACTTCTCTGCAAGTTTATGCTTGTTTAGGAGGTGTTTCGTTACATTACTCCTACTGGATTTTTACTCTCGAAGGTTTTGTTGCACGTACATTAACAAGCATACGGCTCCCTGTCTCCACCACTGTCTGCTCCCTGTGTGTGTGTGTGTGTGTGTGTGTGTGTGTGTGTGTAGGAGCCGTGCACCGCCCGCTCTCGTTCAAACATCAACACAATGGAGAAGCGGCTCCATAAACACCAAAACCATATTTCTAATCTCACATTTAGTGGTCTTTGATAAAATGCTCCTATAGAGCCCTAGCACATTAGCACCAGTTCTCCTGTTTGATCGTGAGTCACTACACCCTCTACAGCCTACAGCTTGCTAGCTATGCCTTCACCCTGCAAATGCATCTTTCCTACATGTTCTTTCTTAATACATCCATTATGATTAGGTGGCAGATTTCTGTGACCTGACACACAGAGAATACTCCTTATTTTTTCATGATTTTGAAAGCTAATTTTATATTACGTGGTGATCTTTTTCATCAATCAAATGTGTCTAAATGTGTCTGGGTGGTTAATAACACGTGTTCTTGTGGTGTGACAAACTCAGAACACATTTATTTCCACTTAAATTTTTCAAATGCTGGCAGCAAAGAGACTGCCACTAATGCAAAAATATAACACAAGTGCCGTCCATGAATCACAGCAAATGCAGTTCAACAACATCATTTGCTGTTGAGGATTGTGCTATTATTTTGTTGTTTTGAGGGTAACAGCTCTGGAAGTAACATCTGAGTGGACTTGGAGTTACTATTACTTTGGTAGAGCTGGATCTCCATTCTCTTATCTGAAGTGCTTCCACCTTCACAGCTTTCATTTTACCACCTGTCACTGCCAGATTTGTTTCGTTTCAAATTAATTGAATGATGTTTTACTTATTTTAAAATGTTAACATTACCTTCCCTCTGAGTGCAATCCCGTTTTGTACGAGCTCTACTGAAATGTGCGACTTCTCTTCAGGCTCCATGCTGCACTGGGAGGAAACCACCTGGTTCTGGTCATTCTGGTTTTCCCAGCAGGCAAAACCTTCATTTTTAGATGCCTTCCTGTGAGTCCGGTATTTCATTTTAGGGAAGGTGTGGGAGCCGCTGTCTGTGGCCCCCCAGCTGCTTTCAGGCCACAGGGGATCGGTCTGTGTGGCCTGGCAGGTGGTGGCCCTCTGCAGGCGAACAGAGATTCTCTGGGCTGAACCAGTCATCAGAGTGATGGATTGAGTGTCCAGAGCTGGAGCTGATGGTGTGACAGCTGGGAATACAAACACCTCATCCTCATCTGAAGGGGGAACACAAGGATCATGAACTGATGAATTAATAAAACTGTGACTTTGTTAAACCGTGTGAGGACATCATGTCCTTCAGTCACGGCAACATAATGAACAAATGGTAGGTTTGCATCCAAGGAATGTTCTGTACAGATAAGAAAATTGTCTTAATGACCAAGACTAATAACATTTGGCAACATACATCGTCTTCAGAAAATATTCAGACCCTTTCACCTTTTGCACACTGTATTGTGTTGTTGATAGATAAGTAATTTTTTGCCCGTCAATCTACACTTTATAACATACAATGGCAAACTGTTTAAAAACAAATGTTTTAAAAATAAAAAACTGAAATCACTCTAGTACAAATGTATTCATGCCCTGAATTCAGTACTTCACAGCAGCCCCTTTGGCAGCAACTACAGCTTGTACTATTCTGGGATAAGTCTCCACAAGTGTCACACACCTGCAAATGAGCAGTTTATCTTATTCTTCATGGCAGTACCTATCATGTGCTATCAGACTGGATGAGAGGTGTCTGTCAACTGCAATCTTCACATTTGAGTCTGGGCTTTGTCTGGATTACTTCAGGACAGTCAGAAACTTGTCCTGAAGCCACTACAGTGTTGTTTTGGTTGTATGCTTCAGGTCAGTGTCCTGAAAGGTGAAGTGCTGCCTCGGTTTTCAGCACAGTGGAGAGGCAGAGGGAGAGGCCTGGAAGTTGTACTTGTTGTACAAATACCCAAATCCACCTAATTCTCAAAGTTACAGACTCTAGCTTTAACTGAGGTAATAGCACTTCAGTGAAACACCACACCTGGTCTGTTGTTGAAGCAACAACATAAAACTTTTTTACACTTAAATAACAGCTTCAAAATCTTTTTAGTGGTAGACTGACTTCCAGTAAGGTGAATGGCATCTGTTCTATTGCCAGTGCATGTCTGGATCATCTGTTACTGCACTATGTAAAGTTGGATCACTGTCCTGGGGACCTCACGATAGCTTCAACTAGCTCAGTATTCTGTGGTTCATACGGGGGTTCACACATGCAAGGACAAATCCCTAAGTAACCACTTAGATTGTGACTAGGCAGTCAGTCTATCTAAGTCATGCCAGTTGAGAATTTGTTCCGATGTTTTTGGAGATGTGAGTAATCATCTGACGAAACTAGTTCCATTAGCAGGCAGCGTCTACATCTTGTTCAGACCTTAGTAGTCTGTCAGCGAGGGTGCCGGTGTTCCAGCTGCACACTGACAGTACCATGTTCTCCTGTCCTTGGGAGTATGGACTTAAAGTTCAGACTTACTAACAAACTACAGTCACCAATTGTGCAACAGGATATTGACTAAAGCACACACATAGCAGTGCATAGTAGGCATCGCCAGAGCCCAGCCACAACCTAGAAGAAGAGAAGAGACTGGACAACAGTAAATATCAGACTGGCTTTTAGTCATTGGTGAGAGCTAAAAATAACCCTGTCAAGGTCACTAACTGTTAACAGCTACTGTCCCGACGTTAGCTGTAAAGATCTGCTAACATGAAAACAACACCACCACCACAGCAGAGAGTAGTATATCTCTGCTAATGTTATTTATGAATGTTTGGTCAGTCTGTCACTGTCACACCAAATAAACCTTCAACATTTGCAGCCTAACAAACCCATCTCAGCTAGCTTGTAATAAATTACGCTGCCCTGTGTTGCCAACATGTTTCATTCCCTTGCACATGTCCACATTTAAAAAATTTGTAAACTGAAAATACAAGCACTGTTTCAGTAAATCTAAAATAAAAACCTGACTTTATTCTGAGTGTTCATCTTCTTTGTCACAATAAATAGAACTATCCAGTCATATTTGTATAAAATCCTGTAAAATTAATTTACCATTCTCTGGCTTCTGTTTTCTTTCCCAGTTCAGTAACAGTTTCGCCTTGTAAACAAATGCACATGTAATGTAGGCCTACCGCTGTCAATCAGGTGGGGTGACAATGCAGCTAGTATTTATGACAGTTGGGTACAATTACCAGCAACTATAGGGGGAGAGAAACTGCCAAGTTACATATTGTTACTTTAAAGGAAGATAACCACTGGCTTTCTTCAAAAGGTTACTATTTAAAAGTGATGAAAAGACCCAAAAGATAAGCAAACAGTACATTGCACACTTCTACTCCTACAATGCAAGCACATCTCTGAATGTTTGCCCGGGAACCCGTCTATACCTCACCACATTCTTATCACAGAGGTCTACAGAGTTCCTTGAAATTCATCGCTAAAATACTAAACCTCTTGGAGTAAAGGCTCTAAATGTGTTTTTAAATTAGAAATTTCAGTTTTTTAATAATTTTAGAATAATCACCTTTATTGGCCAAGTATATTACATACAAGGAATTTGTTTCTGGTACAGAACCAATGGCAGCCATCTGTGGTGCCACCTCAACCGATGGCTCTACCGACAGGGGGGTTCAGTGTCTTGCCCAAGGACACTTTGACACGTGGACTGCCGGCACTGAGATTTGAACCTTCAACTATTCTGGTTGGGAGACGACTATTCTACCCACTGCACCGTCGCCTCCCCCTATTAAATTAAATAATTTAATAGTTTAATTTTCTAAAATTTCCAAAAACATGTATTCACTGTCATATTGAGTGCAGACTTAAGGCTATTATATCAATGCAAAATTAAATCTACAACACAGTAAAGTGTGCAAAAACTCAAGGGGTCTGAAAACTATTGTATTTTTTCCCCAATTAATCTTCTCATCTCATTCATTAAAACTTTTTAGAAGCATATTTGTAACACAAAGTCCTTTTAAGTGTAATTTACTTTAAAGGACGTTATTCATTATTGAATGATGCTGTTTAGCATGTTTAGTGACTAAGCTTTACAGGGGGGCATTGCAGGGCTGCTGGGCAGTGAGCTGTGGGTCAGCCTGGCATGGGAAACGCTGCCCACAGAGCTGGAGCGGATCAACTTCCTACAGGCCAGAACCAACAGTTCCCGACACTGTTTATGACAGTTAACGCCACAGTCTGCAAAGCAAACAAAGACACATCAGCTTATGTTCAGGTCAGAAGTGTACAAAGCTTCAAGGCAAACAGCTAATACTGGTCTTTGTCTTGATGAGGAAGGGTCTTCTAGGAACCACATGTACCTGTACTTTCATGGCAGTTAGGCTCAATGATGTTTTCACATTCTGTTAGTCAGTTCACCCAAATCATCTCTATTTTATTATGTTTTAATTATGGACATTTCTTGTTTGAGTCCTAATATACAGTACAAGATACCATAAAAATATAGGCTGTGTTTTGTTCATTGTTTCGTCACCCACATGTTTGATGTTCCCTGTGCAGTTTAACAGTCACCTACTGAAGGAGTTCTCTATGGTCACCTAAAGGGCACCACAAACAGGCGGCACATGATGCACCTCAAAACACCCGCACCCATTATTTTCAACAAAAGTCCACACATCGGCAGCATCAACCTGCGATGATGCGTCAGTTCAGGATTATTCAGGATACACTTGATTTAGGATACACTATTGTCCTATTAGTATATTCAGGATACACTATTGTACTATTTTCCCAGTGTCAATGTGCATCAAAAGGAAAATTTAATGTTAATGTTTCAAGTTTATTTTTTATAATGTCTGAATGGCCTTCAGAGCAGAATCCAGTGAAACCACAATACCTTTGCACTTGTAACCTTGCTTGATGATTCCCCAGAGCTGAGGGTCCAGAAATGTAAGGAAACAAAAAAAGGTAATTAATTAGGGCAATATATTTTAAAAAATGACCACTAATAGGTCGTAAACAGAACTCAGTCCTCCACAACTTTTCCTGTAATCCTGTGAGTGTCTGTTGTGTCTATGTTAAACAGGGGTTGGTGCAGTTGTTTGGTTCAAAGCAGGCCAATCGGTTTAATTAAACTCTACATTTTCAATGTTTGCAAGATAATTAAGGAGGCATGGATGTGTGACAGTATGTTAGAGATACCCACAAATCCAGCACAGTGTTCACAGAAGGTGGGCTTCAGGTATGTCATCTCCTGGAAGTTGTGGATGAATCCTGGTCCCATCCTACACTGGAGCAGTGGGTTAGCCCGAAGGAAATATGCAATCATCTCATCCTTACTGATCAATCCATCTCTGACAGAGACACACACAGGAAGGGAAAGAAAGAGAGAAAACATAGTGTCTACAAGGTGTTCCAGTCCTACAAGGTCAAACAAAATGTATCTCAACATTCATTCCTACAATTCAACAAAAATGACATAACTGTAGTAAAGGAGTGTGCACACCCCTACGTTTTCACTTCAATTGTTTCTTTAGTACAGTGATTCTCTATATGTGATCACAGTTAAACAACACCAGATTTTTTATTATTGATTTTCTAGCAAGACAGAGGGCTATTTCACAAAACCTAGACAGTGGATTAAGGCAGGCGGGATTTTCCACATATCCTGGCTGGACTTAGCCATTATTTGGTTTCACAAAAGTGCTGGCACATACAGTAAATTACCATGGAGATTTATTCTATGCAGCTAGCCTCCTCCAGACCAGGCTAACTGCCAGGCTTGATTAGTCCTGGTGCCTTACCTGCTCTGTCAGCAGTTACTCCGATCAGCAATGGGTGGGGATATTTTTTTATTTAGTTATTCAGTAAAATGTGATAGTCACTGGTATAGATTGTGTTTATGAAGACTGCTGTTCATATTGTTGTTAGACGTTTGATGAATTTTACTGCAGCTCTTGAGATGATTAGAGATGGGTGATAAAGTGCTGTCACTTAGCCCAGGGGTTCTCAACCCTTTGTAATTTTGTGTCCCACTTCTGATTGTTAAAATATTTCTGAGGACCACCTTAGATAGATAAATAGATCAAACATCAACATAAAACAATGTATTTAGTCTATGTATTTATTGCATTCAGGGCCATTTCCTGACCACACACACTGCAGCTTTGGCACAGGGCACAGTGGCACAGGCTTGCCTCCCAAATCTCTTTTTCATTTCAAAAACTGATCCAATTTTTGTCACTGCATCCAAGAAAGCATTAGCTGGCTAGCTAGCAGTGTTAAAACATGTTTGTCACTTCCTGAATATGTGTGTGGTGATATTCAATGTAACTGAGCACATTTAGTAAATACCTAGCTTTGTACATTTGGAAAAAAATTTTAATCTAAGCCTTTGCAGTACTACTCCGCGGCCCACCAGATGGCGCTCTGAGACGCTGCTTGAGAATGGCTGACTCGTCTAATGTTCAGTTTGATTTTAGCAAATAATTTAAAATGCCAAGTTCAAGGAATTGTCTTGTCATGTTGATCATTGGTCTACATGGACCTGGAGCCATATAGGCCGCACTTTTCATTTATATCTTTTTTGATCACTGTCAGTCACAGTTACATTAATATTACATAGGCTGTATTAAATAGAACACTGAAATTTTAAAAAGCTGATTATTACTAATAATATGAAAGAGGTAGGCCTATCAGTCAGTTAAGCTCTACTTGTTGTGGACTTATGTTTAAAAGGTAGCTGACAAGAAGTTTAGATATGTAAAAATGAACTGGCCACATTTCACCAGATTCATATCACCCAGATTCCACCATCTGCAGAATGAATCGTATTTATGCATTAGTGGTTGTAATTCATCTTCATGGTATATTTCCTGATGAACATATGGTTTCAGTTAAGAACAGTGGTTAGAAAATATATTTTTTTAGGCAACTTAATGCATTCAGTCAGTCTGCTACTGCCTGCCCCACTTGTTCTTGCTGTCTTAGTACAGCAGCCTTATTTCTGTTTTTACTGATTATGTGCTTGAATTCCCCATAAGCTTCCATGAATGGGCACACTCAGCGGGTCTGAAATATGCTGCATGTGTCTTTGATGGGTGTGCCTGAAAACCTGATCAGCACGGTCCTGTTCGTGCCAGTCTGGTGTCATCTCCATTCACTTCATCTACACTAGTTAACATGCTGGCACGGCCAAATGGAAGGCAGCTTCTGTGTGAGCATCAGTGAATGTGTGATCAACCCAAAGCTGTGAATGTGCATTTGTCTGAATTACTTAGACCTGGCTTCACCTAACTGCACCTACTCAGCCTAGCTTAGTGTTTGTGAAACGTATTAAGCCAGGATGCACTTGGTAGACCAGGTCAAGCCTAGCTTTGTCTTGTTTCTTACTTGTGCTTTTGTGAAATAGCCCTCAGGTCCTCATGCTGTGATTAGGTTGAACTCATCTACAAAGTGCCATTTGTTGTCATTAAAGTGCCCATGGCTGCTCATTTTGCTCGTTTTTTTTTTATGTTTAATCCTGGGTACCTCTCGATTAGCTTTGCACCCCTCATAACTCCAAACAGTCTGTAATTCTTTCAGAATGATAAAACCAGAGAGCCTCTTCCTAAAAATGAGACGATAGTTTGTGAACGCACACAGGGTCCTGTTGCTGGTGTTGTGTCACAAGTGGACAGCACAATGAACCGTAGCAGCATTAATTAATTTAAGTTTCTCCTCCATAGATAGGTAAACAACGGTATATGTACCGATGAAAAGATGTAACACTAAACAAAGCGTGTAGTTGAGAAACCCCATATTTTAACTGGCTTAATGCAGACATAGTAACTTCTCCAGCCTTACAACAATTGCCTCTAAAGTTACAGAAACAAGGCATTAACAGACACGGAACGTGTGTTTTTTTTAAACTTACCGTTAAGTCCCACCAAGTGGAAACATCACTCCCTTTCAAGTAGCTCCAAGGTCAGTAAATCCAACCGGTGGTTACTGCGTCTTCCCCCATACGACCACATACATTACCAAAGTAGTGAAATTAATTCCAACTAGTAGCATAACACTGACGATAACATCATGGATCGTTAATCCGCTGGTTAACCAGCAACACATCACATGCGGCAGATACACTGGCCTCAAGCAGTCAAAGAAAACAGGTACTGTGCTTCAGAGGAATCCAGTGTTGATGAGCTGATCATTCACCACTGTGGGGTTTTCACTGGCTGGCTGCTTGTAGGTTAGACCTGGCCAGGCGAGTCCCTGTACAGGAACATTCCCGGACATGCAGTAACCTCAGGCCCTGTATTTTTCTCCACATCCTCTGGTCACAGTGCAGCAGCAGGAGGGAAAATGTATCCACAAAACCAGGCTCAGTTGAAAAATTCCTCTTTTACAATGTCACCGTGGATGTCTTTTTTTTTCTTTTAAATAAGCTTTACTGAAAGTATACATAACAAACAAAGGCAATATAATATTTTGCCAATATGATGGGGGCACTGGTGGATGTCAGGCAAGCTCACATGAACGCACAAGGGCCTGGATTTATGCCCATTCAAGGAAATCCTTAAACTATCATGTAATGCTTTATTTTGTTAGAAAAAAATTCTCGCAAGTGAGGGTTTTCGAGATGCGTATAAACCGAGTTGCTTCTGCATAGAAATATTAGAAGATATGTACACCAAATTTTTTTAGCTTTAGGTCATGTCTAAGATGATAAATCGCCATTGTAACGGTTTAGATAAGTCAGTAAACAAGGAATAGCGCCATGGGCTCTTTAATTTTTTGAACATCTACTGATAACTTTCAATGTTCCACACTCACTGATCTTTGTCCAAAACGCAGAAGGAATCAAGGAAGGGAAAGTTAGCAGCGATGCTCTCAAAGTCCTCTTGAGAAATATAGCCATCATGATCATGGTCATAATTCCTGAACACAGACTTCCCAAAGCCAGACAAGAAAGAGATTATTTCAGGAACATTGCACGCACACCACAACATCTACCAAACCACTAGTTGTTTTTCTGCATTCTGCATGGAAATGTGAAAAGGAATGCTGTCTACTCACATCCACCACCTTCCTAATGTGTTTATTGACAACAGAGGGGTTTGGTTTGGTGGTAACACCAGACGCCCAGTCCAGTGGAGCCAGGGGCTTGTTGGGAGTTGTTGGAGAGGTAGGCTGTGAAGAAGGATACATATACACAGGACTTAGATGAGCAGAATCAGCTTTAGTGGCCAGATGTTTTGGACACACAAGGAATTTGGTACAGTGGCTCTCAATGTGTATGCACAGTACTCTTCCATAAACAAGCTAAGGCTGAGAGAACAAAAAAAGTGTAAACAAAACAAGGAATGTGCATTGGGAAAATAAAAATAACATACTCATAGAACTATATATACACACACATAGTCTAGCTGCAGCTCTCCAGATAGATATGTGCAAAAATATACTTTACATGGCAGAATTAAATCACACGGAATGAGGTCAGTAGCTGATCTAACATTAAAAGGTAGACTATTCCACAATTTAGGGGCTGCAACAGTAAAACCACGGTCACCCCAGCATTTATATCAGGCCCTAGGAACCTCTAAAAGAAACTGGCTTGAAGATCTGAGGGACTTTGTAGGTTTGTGCCAATGCATTAATTCAGTGAGGTAAGATGGTGCCAAACCATTAAGAGCCTTAAAAACGAAAATCAGCAGCTTAAAATCGGTTCTAAAATGGACTGGAAGCCAGTGGAGAGAAGCCAGTACTGGGGTTATATGCTCAAATGTCCTAGTACTTGTCAAAACACATGCAGCAGCATTTTGCACCATTTGGAGACGAGTGAGGGACGACTGGTTAACACCATAGTATAAAGCATCGCAATAATCAAGTCGAGAAGTGATAAAAGCATGGATTGCAGTCTCAAAATCATTAAAAGAAGGAATGACTTGAGTTGATTTGCTTGTCAAATCTTAAGTTGCCATCAAACATCACCCCTAGGTTTTTTACAGTCGACTTCAGATGTCGAGCTAGGGGCCCCAGACCCTGGTCAGAAACAGTTGTTTGCCAAGTCACCAAATAGCACACACTCAATCTTATTTTCATTTAAAAGTTAAGTGCCAGCCATGATTTCAAGTTTGTCAGACAGTCAAATATTGGCTGTTATGACATTCCTCTCATTGCCTTCAGTGGTAAGTATATCTGAATGTCATCTGCATAACAGTGAAAAGAAAGGCCATATTTCCTTAAAACAGATCCTAATGGAGGCATGTACAAAGAGAACAAAATGGGACCAAGCACAGATCCTTGGGGGACACCACAGGAAAGGATAATTGAGGAGGACAAACAGGTACCAATATTAACAGTAAAATTGCTATTGGTGAGATAAGATCTGAACCAGGTAAGAACAGTACTTTGAATTCCTACACACTGCTCCAAATGAGATAAGAGGATTTCATGATCCATTGTATTGAAGGCAGCAGTGAGATCTAAAAGCACCAATAATACTGAATTCCCGGCGTCCCTAGCCAACAGGATATCATTACTGATTTTCAATAATGCAGACTCAGTACTATGTTTTGATTTAAAACCAGAGTGAAATTGCTCCTCGATGCCATTATCTGTCAGAAAAGACTGGAGTTGGATAAAAACAATCTCCTCCAGAACTTTAGACATAAAAGATAATTTAGACACTGGTCTAAAATTAGAGAACACTGAAGGGTCAAGATTTGGCTTTTTGAAAAGAAGCTGGACAATCGCTGTTTTGAAAGCATCTGGAACTGAGCTTGTCCTTAGACATAAATTAGTTAGAGCCAGAAAGCTAGGTCCAGCAGAGTCAGAAACATTCTTAAACAATCTAGCTGACAAACAATACAAAGAACAGTGAGATGCTTTCATGTGGTGAACCAGTTCAGATAGCATAGGCAACGATACAGACTCAAACTGATAGATCAAAGATATCAGAATGCAGAGGAATATGAGCTGGGTCAGGATTACTAGAACTGGAGGACTGCCTAATGCTAATAATTTTAGTAAAATATTGAAGAAAACCCTCACATATTGCTACAGATGCCTTGGGATGAGAAGCAAGGTTACACGGGTTGATAACAGAATTAATTGTACTGAACAAGACCTGAGGTTTATCACAATTAATGATCACAATGTTGGAAAGATAGTTTGATTTGGCAGATTTTACAGCCTTCTGATAGTCAGAGAGACAATCCCAGAAATGGCGAAGAAAAACATGAAGTTTATCCTTCTTCCATTTGCATTTAGCCAGGGCACTGCTTGCAACTTGGCTGGTCTATGTCGAAGAAGAGTGGTGAAATCCAATATGCCCTGGCAAGTAGTCGTTAACAAGCTTAATAGTTCCTCAGAATTCATGTAAAAGGAGACGTCATCTACCAAATACAGACCAGAGTTTTTAAAATGAATAGAAAACGCTCCTGCTGTAGAAGAAGTGACAATACGTCTAAAAGCAACAGGAATAAAAGGTTTGTCTACTAGTGACAGGGCAGCAACATTGAATAAAACAGGCAAGTGATCCGAAAACCGAGTCACATACAAACAGGCAGTCCATGATAGATCACACGGTCCAGTGTGTGTTCGAGCTCATGTGTAGAGCTAGAATGTTAAAATCACCAAGTATTAAAAGCTTATCAAACTTTGGCAGGATAAAACCAAAGAGGTCAGAAAACTCCTGAATAAAACCCTTGTTGAAGCACCTGCTGCTTCCTGTCTGTCAGAAAGCTGGTGATTGACTGGCAGGTGGGAGCAGGCACAGTGAGCTGGGTCAGTTTAGAATGAAGTATGTCTGGGATAATGACAATAAACGCTGAGCTGAAGTCCACAAAGAGGACCCATGCATAGGTTACTGGGGAGCTGAGGTTTTGCAGGATGTAATGCAGTGCCATGTTGACTGCATCATCCACCGACCTGTTTACCCAGTAGGCAAACTGCAGGGGGTCTACGATGTCCTTCAGGTGGACCAACACCAGTCTTTGAAAGGACTTCATAACTACAGATATAAGTGTGACAGGTCTGTAGTCATTCAGTCCACTGATGGAGGGTTTCTTGAGGACCAGGATGATGATGGAGTGTTTGAAGCAGGAGGAGACGTCACACAGCTCCAGATGGAGGCCAGCTGATTAGCACAAGCTTTCAGGCAGGAAGGGGGGGGGGGGGGGGGGGCGACC